GCCAAACCCACACGACTCTAATTCCATTATTTTAATGAGCTTAACAGCTCTTCGTGGCTGTTGCTCCAAGCTGTTGTTGGCTAAGATTACTAGATTATAATGAAAATGAGAAGTTGTTGGATCAACAAAACACAAACATTTTATTCTGGTTGTTGGCTGTGTACAGATAACACCTTATTTTTGCAAGTGATTTTCTGTGATAGGTAGACGAAACTAAAGTAAGAGAAACTGAACATGAATGGTGTGGGTGACGCACAAATCTTCAATAAAATCTAAATTAAATACCAGTTGTAGAAATCAAGTTTTATTTCTTTTCCAGCACTGTGTTTTTTCCTGATTATGTATGTATTTCAAGCAATATGTTGATCACAGGGCTACAGTACAAATTATGTCAAACATAACATCCCCTCTAATTTAGCAGTGGCAACAACAATTAACCCAGCGGTGAAAATGGCTGCTTCAGTCCATTGTAAATGTGGGGCTGTGTATCTAATGGCCACCTCATCAGCTAAAGCCTCAAGTTTGCAGACAGGGGGAGGCCACATCCATCTCCCCAATGGAGCCTAATGAGATATTGATCACAAACATGCAGTTCCATCAATATTTCCATAGATTCCTTGCACGTAAAGCTGGTACTCGGCAGCAGTACTGTACATGTGGGCAGATGACATAAAATACAGTTAAAGACCGTAAAAGCCCAGTGTGTTAGTGCATCTGTTACATGCTGCTGTTCATTTTAAGCGGCTTCCATGCCTGCTCTGCTGCCTTCTTTCTATGCTCTTCTCTCTTTTCTCACTCAAGACTGCTTAAGGCGGGATGCAGAGCACTGAGTGTCAGTTCCCTTAGTTATTCTGTTTCCCTCATGAACCTTTACCTTTAAAGCTCTCCTGGCTTGCGTAAACCTGGTATGTGAATGAGCAGCTCAGGGTGTCTGTGTATGTAGACAGACTCAGTTTACACTACAGTACTCGCTATGGGATATTGGAGATGATGTAAATTGATCGTGGCCTTGCCGTGCACAGTGTGTCCTGTGGGCCCATTCCTACAGTGACATTATCAGTGAGAACAGTCCACAGTCACAGAGCTGAGGTTGCTTTTTTAACCCCGACAAGAGCTCAGGACTGCAACCTGCATGCTACTCTGTGTCACCTCAACTATTGGTATTAGTCAGGCTGTGGTTTCTAATTTAAAATCCCATTTTAATTGCTTACATTTCTTTACTTCTTTCTGTCTTAATTCATCATTTATTTCGTATTGTTTACCCCTTTCCTCATTTCTTGCTTGTTAAATTCTATCTTGTGTGTCTTACTTTCTCTCTTATGTTTCATCCCTTCCTTTCACTACTGTTCCTTTTCCCACATTCCTGTGGTCATTCTTTCCTTCATCTCTTCTTTCTCTTGATATGTTTTCTTCCTGGCTTACATTGTTTTTTCCTTCCTCTCTTCCTTCACTCATTTTCTCCATGTTTTGGTTCCTCCTTTACTTTTGTTTGGTTCTTCCTGAATTCTTTACTTAATTTCTTCCTTATGACTCATCTGTACTTTTCTATTGCTTTTAAATCCTATTGCATATTTTCCTTCTTTACTTTTTGTTATTCCCTGCTTGATTCCATTTTTTATTCCTTGCTTTTTTTTTTCTTCCTTACTTCCTTCTTTCCTTGATTTCTTCTCTGGTTTCTTAGTTGTGAGCTCCTACTCCCCACCACCCTCCATAAACACACACACAGTCAAACATTTAGAAAACCATACTTCTGAGGTCTAAGCGCTTAGTGGGGACTAAAGCAATGGACCTCCTCTATCCTCCCTACAGTATACCTACCCTACAGGCGAACCATCTCCATTGAGCTGTCATTTTCCTCTCTACATGGCCCTTTTTCCTCCTGAGGTATGGAGGGTTTTTTTTTATGGCTCCACTTCTGTCCTCTCCTCCTGTTTTTAAACATCGTGTTCACAGCAAGAGCAGCAATCAGACAGGCCTTCGCACTTTTACTGACGTCTTCAGTCTTAAGGGAAGGGGAGATGGGGAGAGGAGGGGTAGATAGAAGAGCAAAATCTTTACCCTCTCTGCTTTCAAGGCTAAGGTGTGTGTATGTTAGTATATGTGCAAAGGTGTGTGTAACAGTGTGAAGGATTAAGTGGAAGGTGCTGCATGTGTTTATGTGAGCAAGGAAATTCCTGGATGCTTGGATTTTTTTCAGGCAATTTTTCCTTCCAATGTTATGTTTCAAGACATGTTTTTTTTATAACTATAAATAAGAATAGGATGCGAACCAAAGTCTTGTTTGGGCTATTTCTGCCTTCATGCAGTGTGGAAAGAGGTTTTACATATACATACTTCTTTTTTCTATTTTGCAGTAGCAAATGTGTAACAATCTTTGCTTCAGTGAAGACATAGGGCTGTAATAATATTCACTGCTCCTGTCTGTCACATATTTTGTCCCGTTTCACAAGAAATTTATTATATCCAGTTTGGGGTTTTAGTTTGGGATAGTGCAAAATAGTTCAAAATCGTAAAGTGGAAGAAAATGTGATGCCTAGTTTTCAATTTTTTTTAAAGAATGGCATGCTAAGTGAGCTAATTAGTAAACCACCTCTTAATAATATCTGGTTTAGACCATTCAGTTACTCATGTAAAAATGAATTGAATATGTCATTACTGCAATCTTACTTACTGTAATCATAACTTACAGATCAGAGAAATAACCGAGGGGCTTTTGGTAAATCTGGATGAACTGCGGAGATCTACAACTCAGGAAAGGGAGAATCTGTTGATTGGACAACAATAAATGCCATAAGACTGTACAACTAGCCACATGGATAACATGAAACACAAAGTTGTTCTGTTGATTTTCTTTTTTCTTTTTTTTTTAAACAAGGAAAATGTTTCAGGGATATACAAAACTCTGCACATCTCTTTGGAAGAAGCTACTTCAGCACCATGGACAGGGCTTTGATGGAACAACATCAGGGTCAACTGCCTCTAGCTTTTACTGCAGGGAAGGGAAAGCATTTACTGCTTATTACATGGAATGGACTGGGTGAAGTGGATGTATATGTGGAGAAGTGACGGAGTGTGTTTGAGCACACATGTGCGGAATGCAGTGATGAAACGTTAAGCACCAGTGAGGAAACTGAGTGACAGGCCAGACCCAGACTGGGAGATAATAGATTGTACCGAGGTTGGTGGAGTGGAGGAGGTCAGCGGGGGGGAATATGAGGAAGGCAGGACTGTCGTCAACACGCTGTGGCACACTCTTCAGCTAATGAGGGAGGCAAAGGGGTCAGCTTCTAACTACACAAAGATAATGACCGTCTCCAGAAACCATGGCAACAGCAGCCATCCTGCACGTCTCCCACCCCCGCCGCCTCACCCCTCTCGCTGCGCTCTCATCTTACTTCACCCCACCGAAACAATTCTTTTTTTCTTTTTTCCCAGAAAAAATAAAATAAAATCACACATTGTGGAAAATCAATGCAGAGCTTTTTGTCCCTTAATAACAGACCAGGATTTGCATCTGTACCTTTACAGCATTGGAGACATGCATAAAACATGGTGACACAGCCCACACCTGAAAACGCATTAAGTATAATTTTCTGCTGCTATTGTGGATGAAAAAAACCAAAGCACCTTGTTGCAGGCAGAGTAACGCCTTGTCTCAGGAAGGTATACTAATTTCAACTTGTGAAAGAGTAAGAGAAAAGGGAAAGACGTAAGCAGATAATGGGGAGAGAGGCATAAGCTAAATACAGCAGAGATGGAGTCAAACGTGTTCACTGAACAGGAGAGAGAACTTTTAAAAAGGCAAAAAATCAATTACATAAGAATGGAAATAAGAAACCAGGTAATCATTTCTCCATTTTTCCCAAAGGAATACTCTACAAAAGAGTGTTTATGCATGTGCATGACTTTATGTGTGTTGTGTTCATGTGTGAGGTTTCCTTTGCCTGAGTCTGCTTCAACTTTTGACAACATAATTACACACAGAGGCTCGGGATGAAGATGTAGCTTAGTCTGTCTGTGTGAGACTGTGTGGTTAAGGAGCATGATACGAGCCCTAACACATGCCAACACACGCACTCACACACTCGCAGAAGTACATTAGCACCCTGGACAACGGCTGACTCATCAGAGTCCAATTAAAGCTGCTGTGACCAGTCAGCCAGTTAGCCAAACGCCAACACTGCTGGGTTGGTTGACGATAGAGAGCTTTTGGTGTAACGGTGTGGAAGGAGCACTCAGTTTTAATGGGAAAGAGGAGGCAGAGTTTTAATGAGGGATGTAGCCGTGTCGTTTGCTTCTTGATACCCTGTCTGGCCATTAGGAGCTCTTACGACAAAGCACCTTTCAATTTGCACTAGTTAAGTCTGCAAAGTTATTCTTTGATTGATGGATCAGTTTCTGGGTGCATAGATCATTGTAGCTCAGTTGTGGATTGTTAAACTATTGATTCTGCTTGAACTTTCTCACTTTATGTCAAGCAATAAACGTCAATGTATGTTACTGAGATTTTATGTGATGCATCAAGAAAATGTAAAGTATAATTGTGAAGTGGAGGGGAAACAAAGGATGGTTTGAAATCTTTGCACAAATAGAATTCTGAAAAGTGTGGGATACATTTGTACTCACATTGCTTAAGGTAAATGAAACTTACTTCAGTAACATTTCTCCATCTACTACTGTGTCAGTTTTTATTTTTTCTTTGTTTTATTTAATTCATTTACAGTTCTAAATGGACATATTATAAAATGTATACATATGTTTTGAATGAAAAGGAGTAGTTTAAAGAAAATAATCTTAGTCTAAAAGTCAATTTATTTTTACTATGCCATAAGCAACTTAGCATTATTTAGCCATCCATATAGATCCATAATTTTAATGACACTTTTTTTATCTACTTAGATTCTTAAACTAATTTAGCAATTTTCTTTTCTCAGCCTTGGTTAGTCAATTGTAGTGTCAAAAAAGGCAAATAAACAAATGTATTTCTTTTCCCCATCCAGATGCTCTCAAAGGAATCGATGTGAGCGTGCAGATGAGCCGTATCGTTTTGCTGCCTCTCTCAGCCAGTGTGTGAAGGCCACCGTCTTTCCTGACAGCATTGCAGTGTCCGAACCTAGCGTGCCTGTAAGTTTACTCACATTCCTATACACTGTGCATATAAATGGTGCTCCTGAAACAATAAATGCAAAAGAGCCAGAATGGTTTGAATCAATCCACCGAGAAGTTCACATGGTTGTGATTGTGGCTGATGCATAAACATTAAATGTGAAGGTTTATTTATTTTATTTTTTAAGAGCTTTATGTGGGCGTTTTAGGCATGCATATGTTCATTTGTTTCAGAGCAGTCAATATTTGTGCCAAGACATGTTTGTGTGGGCGAATGTGTAGGCGGTAAAGTTGCGAGGGTGAAGAAGAGTACAGTACATTATTTCCACGTGGACTGAGTCAAAACGGCCAGAGATCACCAGTGAAAGTTGTGGAGAAAGCTCTTCATCTTTAGTAAGAACTCTGTTACATACTTTGGCTTTATCAACCCATATTGACAAAGGGTCATTTTCTGTTCAGAGTTTGCAGATTGTTTTGCTTACAGTAGCTTTGGGATATTAGAAAATGTAAAATTTATGTGAACTTTGGAAGCATTCTTCTCAAAGTGGCTGCATTGGAACTTTCTAAAAATGTCTAAATTGTTTCCAGTACTTTTTGGCCAAGTTTGCAAAGTGCTATGAAGTTCTGCCACTTAAATATAGCCTTAGTACCTGTGTCATTGAAGATAAGTTCACTTACGATGCTGCTGACTATTACCTTGGCAAGCCCTTCTAGTCTTCAGGCACTACTCAGCAGAGCCTTTCAAACTGGACCAACTATTAGCACTAGATAACCCACATTTCTACTTTCTTGCAATCTTAAAAACTGGAACAGGAGAAAACTGTGTGAAAATAGAATTTGGTGTGAAGATATTTTTAAGCGTACCAATCACAGGTATGAAGTTAGAGTTATGTTGCTTAGATTTATTTGTTTATTGTAAAATCATCTGAATATGTGTAAGTTGGAAACCAAAAATAAGTCTTTCTGTCATCTGTCCATCCATACTTGTATTTATATGGATTTGCAACTCAAAAAATGTCTAAAATGTGATCAAATCCAAGCCAAACTGTTTATTGGATAATAGTCAAGGTACTCTTCCATCTTGCCAAATATAGTATATTCCAATTTGAATCAGCGTGAAGCAGGCTTTTGCTTTAAAGTAAAAAAAAAAAAAGATCTTTATATGAACTAAAGTATGCTTATTTTAACACAATTATTTCCTGCCACTATTCTATACAATATACACAATATACTCTGCTTAAAGGTTGTTGCCTCTTCTCTTGGTTTGTGTATGTATTTTTACTGCTAGTGATATAACTTTATTATTAGTCCCCTATTAAAACTAAAGCTTGTGAATTTTTATTCTTATGGGCAATGCATGGCAGATGCACTTGAAATCAAAGAGCTTTAAATCACTATTGCTGTTTTCTTCATGATTACGCATATAAATGTCAAACACTTTGATGTATCATTGCTCTTGGAAAACAGTGTAAATAATTTACAAACACAGATTTCTGTATTCCTTTTGCTGTTTTGCTTAATAAAAGTCAAAATGAATTTTTGACTTTTAAAACAGGTCTTTCTAAAAACAAAAAAACAAGCAATCAGTAGGACAGAGAAAACATGTGCATAAACAATGAAGAACAAAATAATTCAGAGCACCTTTGCAGAGGAAATTAGCATCAGGAATATCCAGAAATAAATCTGCTGTAGTTGTATGACTCGATGATGTCAGTATGGGCCAAAATATCAAGAATGATTTTGGCCTGTCATTGATATTGAAGGTAGTTCTGAAAGCAGCATGGGTTCAATTTGGCACAGGCAAGGTTTGCCCATATAATCTGGCTTGTTGGTGTCAACTGAGGTTTAAACTATAGCTGTTTTCATTCCTTTGAATGCAGCTTCATCGCCCAGGTTCCAAGCCCCAGCTTAAAATAGACCTTGCATCATCCCTTTGTTCGTGTCTTTTTAATTAAACTCAGCTGACATTACCCTGCTGGCCACTTTGCAGAATGTCAGTTGGCTATATTAGTCATTTCCTACCTGTCAGCCACACCTGCTGCAGGGTCATCTCACCTAACCAATCAGAGCAAATTTACCCAGCTCCCAAATCCCAGAGATGCAAACACCCCTCTCCATGACAACACAGTCTTCATATGAAATTATGCTCGCTAAAAATCTGCCATCAATTAGGTGGTAGGTTACTGCCAAGCTGCAAAAACACCCACCACCAGCATCATCATGGAAGGCAGCAAAACAAAAAAGAGCAATATAGCACAATACTTTGAAACATGCTTACTCTTTCTCACTTTGTGTGTAAAGTCTGTATGAAAAATTTGAGTGTTTAACTGTATATGTGTGTATGTACGTGCCAATGATGAGAGCTAATTAATGTGAGAGCTTGCTCGGGAAATCCGAAATTGAACAAAAGACATTGATTGCTGTGATTGCTGTAATCAAGGATCTCTCTGACACCTCGCAGCGAAGCAACACAAACATGGGTGAAGCTAAACAGGAGGAAGACGAGAGGTCCTCAGCAGAAAAAGAGAAATCATCCCACCTCTCGACGTGCGTCGGGAGTAAGGCAGTTAACGAGGGAGGCAGCACGATCCGCTGCCGGAGTAGTTTTCTTGAAAAGACATGCAGTTAGTCTGCTCAGCTGCCTCACCCATCCGAGCAGCCCCGCTGTGTTTAGTAAGAGGCAGATAAAACAATGGAAAACTTCAAGAACTGTGGCCCAAAAATAACTAATAAAACAAGGCTGCGAAATGCCATGGTGATAATTATCCGCACTGCCTTTCTTGGCTGGAGAGCCAGATCACACACCCTGTGCTGAATGCCTTTATTTATAGATAGAGCTGTTGGAAAGTCCAGCCCCAGTGTCACTGCTTTCAAATGCCTGTATGTGCATATGTATATGCAAACTTTGTTTCTTTTTTCTTTGTTTCCTTCTTTCTTTCTTTCCCCTTTGTCTTCCTTTCTTTCACAACTAATAAATTCAAGTTCTTTAGAACAGAACAAAGTAAATTAAATTGATTTAGTCAGTTTTGTATTCTTCAGTTGGTTCCATGTATTTCTTCATAATATAATGTAAAACCAAATGGAGGTGTAGAATCTAAATCTAGTCATATTTTTTTTCTGATTCACAGGCTTTTAAGTCCCACAAACAATATTTGGCAAAGCAGTTTGGCAGCAATTGCCAACAGCACTGTTTTCTTTTTTTTTTTTTCTTTTTTGAAGCTAGCACTGCTGCTCTGAAGTCGGTACATTTCTTCAAAATTTCTACGTGGACTATCTTGTGCCTTGACCAGTCATATAACCTTCACCATAGCTGGTGTTGCTAATAAAAAAAGTTTTTTTTTTTAGTACCTAAATTTTTCTCCATGAATAGGATTTCTGTTATGTGTGAAAATGTTTTCTAGAGATTTGGTCAGTGGCCAAAATTCTGTGTCTAGATTGGTCACAAAGTAATGAGCTGTTTCTCTGTCCCATGTGCAGCTGCTGGTGAAGGTGAGCGATGTCCCAGACCTTTCTGTGGGCATCACCTGCTCCTTTGGCAACTTGACAGAGATTGAGGGAAACGTAAACGGCAACCAGATACTCTGTGTGTCTCCTGCTGCGAAGGACGTCCCGCTCATACCGACTGACCAAGGTAGATATAAAACATTTATACATTTATTGCTTAAAAGGAAAAAATCTCCAAAAGTTGACTGTGTTGTCTACATTTAGGGTACTTTATTGTTAACAATAAAATCAACAACAGTGACATTAGATCTAAAACACATTACCCTGCTAAGACTGCTCTCATCCTGATCTCTTGTCCTGTCTATGGGGATTTGAAAACATCTTCCTCATGCCTGTCAGTACATTAATATTAAAACGTAAGGGCTCAGGAAGGAATCCCGGGGCTGTAAAATGAAGAATTGTTTCCTTATGAACTCTAAAGCTGGTCATTTCTGTTGTTAGTTCAGCATGAGTCAAACTTCTTTTTCCAGTTCTGAAAGATGGCTGCCTGGACTGCAGTCTGGACAAAATGGGTGCCTTTATGTATGATGATGTGTTTCTAGCAGCACTCTCACACCATTTTTAGCTGTGTGGAGTGGAGACGGTTAAACCATCAACAAAAGCAATGTTGATTTTATCAATTGTAATGACTTTTTTTACTTTTTAGCCTTTCCTTGCATGTTATTTATTCAGCTGTGCAATGATTATTCACCTGGTCACTGACACAGATCCTTCTTTAGGATGAAATGATCAGATGAGCCAATGCTTTATCAAAACTTAGTAAATGGGACTGCAGCTTAAATTACCATTGTGCATCAAAGCAAAAATTCATCTCTTAGGCTACAAACTAAGATGTCTATCAGTACTGTTCATAGCATGGAAGTCTTCATATTTCTGTAGGCATTCCAAGAACACATATAAAGTAAATTTATTCCAAGATCTCAGTCAAGCTACAGGAGGGAGAAACATACAGTACGAATATTGAAACTTGTTATTCAACAACATCATCTCAGGTGAAGATGGCCACAATGTGAAAAAGTAAACACACTAAATAATAGATCATAATCAGATTGTGAAAACCAATGTGTGTTAGAGGTGGTTTGGTGAATCCCCATCCCCTCTCCTGCTTTGAGTAAATGACAGCCCTGTTTGCCCCGAACTCCCAGAGGAGATGGTGCATCGGCTCTAATATAAGTGTTTTCCCTCAGGTAAATGTCAGCCAGTCCTCCTGTTAAGTCCCACCATCGTCCCACCAGCTATCCATCTGCCTGTTTACTCCTCCATTTTCCCCTCTCCATCCATTCCCATGGGAACCCCCTCCGTCTTCTGTCCCTTTAGCGAGTCTTTCCAGACACCGCTTGACAACACTGATTGTGCTGTGGTGATGACCTGAGGGGAAATGTGACAAGAGTAGAGGAACAGAGAACAGGAAATGAGACCAAAAAGGGAGCAGAGGAATGCATGATAAAGAACAGGGCAGAAATTAGAGGGAAATTCTCTAAAGGAGAGCTGACAAAGAGGTCAGTGGAAAACTGAGGACACTGCACTCATTAAAGAAAAAAGCTAGACCTCTTTTCCACTAAGAAAAATGTTCATAGAGGAGGTTTAATACCAAGAAGACCTCCATATATGCTTGCCGGATCCTTAGAGACCAATGTGTGTTAGAATTTGGCCATGAGACTGCTGTTTAGACTTGTGCGAAACAAATCCTGATTCCCAGCAGGTGCTCAGAGTGCTGAGGGTTACTGAAGCCTCCCACACACTGAATGTCATCAAATTCAGGCTCATGTAAACATCCACACACGTATGAAGCCCACAATGTAATGACTGCGAGCTATAGGGACAAAGAAAATGCAGACAAACAAATTTACATCATAGTGAGCGATTTTGTTCAACGTTAGGATTTTTATTTGTATTGCTTCCTGCTATAACAATGCTTGGAGCGACTTTGGTGTCTGATCTAGCTGAAAAAAACACTTTAGAAACTCAAAAATGTTCAAAGACTTTGCTGAATCTGAAGTTTTACTGCATCATTGAACTTCCATCTAGAGGTGAGGTTCAAATAAGTTTCTCTTTACAGATGAGAACAACTTTGAATCACTCAAAGGGTTTATCCAAATAAGGGTATTGGAAGAATTAATCTTTGAACAAATGTATCTTGAGCACTATTCTTCTGGATTCACATCATAGCTGCAAAGCACAGTAATAAGAAACTCACTCTGAGCTAGTGTTAGACATTTTTCTGTTTCAAACTGCACTTGTTTGTCTGAACCATTGGATCCTGTGTCATTTTGATTGTTTGTAGGAGACAAATCAATGACCAAAAAGCCTGGAGCCACCATGGCAACCACCAACTTTGTTCATGCTAATGCTGCCCCTAAGAGTAAAAGTAATGCTCACATACTTTACATAATTGGTTTATGAGGGAGATTAAAAGAAAAGTTTAGCACAATAGAACTGATTTAGTTATGCATTCAAAATAAAAATAACACTTTCACATGAGAGGCTCAGACTTGCATATATCCTCTGTGGAAGCAAATATGAAAGCAAATATTCACAACTTAAGTGAGATTTAATGAAGTCTGCTGTTGAAAAACTATAATTTTGTTACATTTTATTAAACGTTCCAAATTTTGACAATGTCTGTGACTTATGAAAATGATGATCTGTTGTCTGCTTTCTTTCAGACTGGTCAGGTGTTGAGCTGAGGCTCAACTCTAAGGAGACTGGTCAGATGCTCATCAGCACTGAGATTAAGTTTTACAACTGTAGTGTCCACCAGCTGTGAGTATCACCCTCTATTTCAACCCTTTCCCAAAAACATTCTCCCAAATATTCCCCTGAAAAGCCCTGAATCGATGCTCTGGGATCTAGTTTCAGATCTGTCTTCATCTCGTCTTGCCAACCCTCTAAAAATAACCTCAGTAGAAGTAATGTAGTATGATCTCTTTTTCTCCCAGTGCCCCATTGTTTCTGCATTGTTGTGCTAATGAATCTTTCTTTCTCAAACATGCTGATGTACAATACCCCCAGCTCTCGGTGTAACGGGTCCTTAGAAGAGAATTTTCCACCCATTTTCATGCTGTGTCTGTCCCTGATTGATTGATGTTGCCTTGAATCCCTGGTTTGGAGATCTCAGTGTCGGCGCTGCCTTTGCAATTCTTCACTTTATTCCACTGAGACAGACTCTGTTTGTACAAGATCCAAAGGCCACTCTGACTTGGTGAAATGGAAAGATGAGGCAGTAGAGTAAGGCTGGTGAAGCAGAGCTGCAGGAATGATAGCATGTCATATTATCCTTTGACTACCCCCTTGACATTAAAACAAAATGTTTTAGCCATTGGGCAGTGTTACTCTGAGTCTCTCTTCTTTCATTTCTTCCCCTGCTGCCCAGAAATCCTATTGGGATGGCACAGAATGGAATTACCAGCTCTCTAACATCAGCGCGATTAACCAGGAATGACAAACACACGCATACACACAGTCACACACACTCAAAAGCTCAGAGACGGATGCATACACTTGAAAAGGGCACAGGCTCGTCTTTGCATGCCTTGATGCCAAGTCTTGCTCCCCCCTTGCCGTCCCTTTTACACACATGTTCGGCTCTGTTTGCCTGAAGGTGAAAACACCCTATTCTTCTAGCCTAGCCCAGTTGCCAGAAGTTCCTCCCAAGCTTTTGCACCAATAAATATTTAACAACAAGCAAGTGTGTATAACTCAACCTTGTCAGTGAGAGTGAAAGCAAGCCGACACTAAGACGTGCTTGTTGAACAACTGTCCATAAACACACAGTGTGGCGAAGCAATCACAATCGCTGAATTAAAAAAAAAAAAAACAAAACTTCTATAATTTTTATTGATAAACATATGAAATGACACAAGGGTTGTAAAACAAAGAATAATCTTTACATGATTTTAAGTTTAGGACTCAGGCAAGAGCCTATTTTTGGCAAATGGATCGAAGGTTTCCCAAATTGTTTTAATTAATCGACAGAGTAGAATTATGTTTTAGATGTTTGGGCCATCTATAAAGTGTTATTATTATGCCTAGCTCATTGTAAGGTGGTCCAGATGCATAAAGTTTTTCTTTGTGTGTTTTCACTAATAGAGTAATGGTTTGACAAAACTTTTCCACAGTGACTCAATAATGAAGATATATCTGACTCAGGTTTAACCAGTCTTAATATTTCATATTTTCAAGCAGAGGTGGTTAAATGCATCCCAGTCTGTTTTAATATTGCAGATCTCATTACACCACTGATTGACACATGCAGCTACAAACTTCAGTTAACTTCCATATTGTTTTATATTGTTTTATGACTAGTGGTTTTCTGAAGTGCTAGACTAACATTAGCATGTTACTTTCTGTGTTAGCATGAGTTGTTTATAATTTGGCTCATGGCATTTGTCAGTTATTTTCCACCTCATAAACGGTAGCCATGGCTCACTAACAATGTGACTCACATTACCTCAGAAGCAACACTGCAACAACCAGTACTGGAAGTGGAACCTATTCAGTAACTACAACACTCGAGCGCCTCAAATCTGCTACTCAATATAGCAGATTTGATTGAGACCCAAATCTGTTACATTGAGTTGAATCATGACATTCCAATCTATCATGTGTTAATCATCTATCCAGCCAGAAATATTATATGACAGCTGAGATTGAATCAGTAAACCTAGACAAATATGAGGAAATTGAACAAAATTTGTCCTGCAAGTAAGTGAAACCACCTCTTAACCTCCAGCAATCTAACTTAAGTGAGTGTAGTTACTTGCTAATTTTACATTCCAGAAACCACACTTGCTTAATTTGTTTTCCCATATAAGTTAATTCCACTATGGCATCTTAAAATAAACCCCTCCACACGTATAGTTACTAATATGGGCTTTCAGTATTCGGTTTGTGTCAGTAGGTAGCTAGAGTTGTAAATGTTACAGTCTCTACTATAGCTTCCTGTGGAAGGAATCTAGAAATAATCTTTGCATTGTTGCAAAGCAGAAGGTAACAACCACGATTGGTTCATTTGATAAGTGTTTACATTTTTCTCAAATTCCAACCCCCCTGTGGAAAATAAATATTAAATGTCACCAACTGAATCAGGTTTGCTTTATGTACTAACACTGTTCCGCCTGCAGTTATGTTCTCAATTTAAAACCCTTGCCAGAATTTCTCTATGCTCTGTTCAATTCTTATACACATTGTCTCTACTCAGCATCCTCCTCCCGTTGTGCATTGTTGAAAGTCATTAATAATGAGTGTTGTTCACCATGTATTACGCTCCTGCAAGCTCACTGAACTAGTTTCTGTAAAGAAGCTTTTATTTGCAGTCATAATACTCTGACCAACCTTACAAACCCTGCAGCTAAGCCTGGATCTGGGCTTCTGAGGGCTTTCTAATGGAATGATTTCTGTTTTTTGTAGCACTTTTATTTTAGGGATGTATATAAATAATTTGCCGAGAAGGGTTTGTGTTGTACTTGTGGTAAATTGTAATGAGTTTTTTACAATCCTGTGGGAGAATTTTGGACTGCTCTTTTTTTCCCATAATTGTTTTTATTCAGTTACAGTGGAATATTGTGTGCAGGAACATCCTACTTAAGATCCATTCAGAATAAGTTAATCAAATTTAAGTCAAGACTTGGAATCTCTAAATTCTGCATATTTTTTTAGACATTCAGAGAACAATGCTTTGGTTAATGTCCTTCTACACAATGCAAGCATTCTCAAACTTGCGGTCAAAATTTTGCATTTTCCTTAAGGATTTCCAGGTACAAACTAGAATTTATTTTGTTCATTGTGAAAAATATTCTGGGTCCTACAGTAATAAAACAACATCAGGATGGTATAAAACCATCCTAGTTTCTATAGATGGTATAAAATCATCTAATTTGACTGTCGGTGTGAATTTCTTTTGTTAAACTGTTTGTTTTATACCATCTGTAAAGGAATGCATGTTTTTTCCAATGTTCCTCTTGTTCTGTCAGAACACTACATTTTGTTTTTCTACAGCCTTTGAAATCATAAGAATGTTTTTAGAAATTAAGATACAATAGTGGATTTTACCTTGGAACTTTTCCATAGATACAATTATCTTGCTATTTCATAAATGCTGATCTTAGAAGTTGGTTAGGCTTATGACATTGTTCTGGTTTATTTTATCTGACTTTCTCATTAAGAAAAAGTCAGATGAAAAAGTCTCAAGAGTCATCAATCACTCTTGAGATGATTTTGGGAAACTGGGAAGGTTCACTTTGTTTTGTTCATGGATAATGGCTCTTCCTGTGGTTTTTTGGATTCCAAAAGCCTTCACAGGAATGCACATTGGGAGTTTTATGGCGAGTCTTGTCAAATACTGTGTTAGCTGGTGCCTTTAACACACTTTAGGTCCTTTGTGCAGAAGTTCAGAGACGAAACATAATACTGGACTCCAGCTTTGGATAGCTTCAAAACTCTCTTTAATAGAATCTCTGGAGACTTTGCCTTTTCGTGTGGGCTGCTGACAAGACACAGCTGGTAAAGCTTGTATGATTTAAAAAAAAGTACAGCTAGTTTTTTGACGTGCATGTGACACTGCTGATGAGCATTGCCATGTAATTTTGTACCCATTTCAACACTTATATATGACAATGGATAGGTTTGTCATGTAAGTTTTGCTCATTGGGCCATGCAATGCTGCTTTTTGAATCGTTCAGTCTGCTTCATGTTTTCTGACAGGTTCTTTTGCAGTGAGGGTATAACTTCTAAAACCAAACTAATCACAAGTAATGCATGATTTAAGCAAGGGGGAATTATGTTTTCACACAGCTATTTGAATAATGATGTGAAAATTGATTTTTTATCTACTGAGGTTATCAATTTATTGTAACATTAGGTTAAATGAAAGAAGGTGTGAAAAAAAATAATCAGCACAACATAAAAACATTTGCATTTGTATTTATATTCACAGCAGTTCTATTTAATTTATCCCATATATTAAAATACATATATATATTACATCTATTTTATTATATTTAATAAATCAAAACATGTAAGCAATTACCAATCTATTTCTTTCAGTATTTATTTTTTATTTCACAATGTAATTCAGTTTTTTTTACATAAATGAGTACTTACTTGAATTAATTTTATTTTAATTGAGTTTTTTCATTTTTCTATAAATATATTCTTGTGCTTAATAAATATTTTAAATATTAGATGCATTTCAACAAATTATGGCTTTTTTACTCATTTATTTGGTGTAACTACATCCTGTTTCGTTTTAATATTACTGAAACACCGTTTTGATTTGTTGAATTCTGTCATTTTTGTCCTTCAATACAATTCAAGAAAACGTGTGTACTATGCATTTAAATACTCACATGCACATGCTTAAACATAACCAGTCAAACAATGCTGGACTAATGGTAATTGCAGGATCTAGCGGAGCAAATGTTTTATTTGTGCTCATTACTCAAAGTTCTCCGTCTCAGCTCCTCCCCCTCTGATTGTGGTTATGAGGACTAATATTGAGTCAAACATGCAGAATGAATGTATGGTAGCAGTAAATTTATGCAGGCAGAGCTGGGTCCTGCAGTGACTGGGTACCGTGCCAGCCACAAGGGCGCAACAACAGCATGTGCCTACTTGGGACATGAACTCATTTCCTTTGTGACTCTTCCCCCACCTCTTTGGCAAGCTCTCTGTCCCTTCTTGACTGTGAACTGCTCACCACTTGTGTGTGTTTTTGTCTTCACCCAGGTGTCTGTCATGTGTGAACAGTGCCTTCCGCTGCCACTGGTGCAAATACCGCAACTTGTGTACCCATGACCCCTCCAGCTGCTCCTTCCAGGAGGGACGAGTCAACACCTCTGAGGTTGGTGGTACACTCAAGAAGATAAATTCTCTGTTCCTGTGTTTTCTCCACACACAGAGCCTGTCTCAGTTTCATTCTGCTTGCATCGTTGTCTGTGTTGCAGCTCTGTGTCAGCCTGCGGGCATGTCTTCTGAAAGGCAGCCATCGAATCTTCTCTATTTTTCCAAAATGCCGCCTCTCATTCAGAGCTCTTGTTCTCGGCAACACCAATTAACAGTCCATTATCCCCAGAGCGACTGAGCTTAACAAGTCTTAACAATGTCACTCCGACCACGTCAGTCATGTGAGATGGAAGTAGCTTAAACACGCCTGTTTGTCTTTGGTAGATTCTGGCTTTACACACACTCAGTGCTTTGATTGTAGTGCAGCTACTTTAAACTGAAAATGATACTTCACTGTGACAGCACTCCTTTTTTAAATATATTCTTATTCATGACGCCTGCATGACATTGTGATTTCTCTCCCCTTGCTGGTGACCTTCAAACCAAAATGCAATTTCCTCTCTCTGTTTTGCTGACACTCTTCTGCTCTCTGCCCCCTGCAGGACTGTCCCCAGCTGGTGCCCTCGGAGGAGATTCTGATCCCAGCAGGGGAGGTGAAGCCAATCACCCTAAAGGCCAAGAACCTGCCACAGCCCCAGTCTGGCCAGCGAGGCTATGAATGTGTCCTCCACATCCAGGGGGTCAGCCATCGAGTCACCGCCCTTCGCTTCAACAGCTCCAGCGTACAGTGCCAGAACAGTTCGGTAGGCTGAGAAATGCTTCCTTAAGTTTAGCTAAGTCAAGTATAAATGGCTTCACTTCTCTGGCTTTTGAGTTGAAAATTGTGTGTTATTTGTTCACTTGTCCACCAAGTGAGACGTTTCTTAAGTAATTTGTGATTGATTTCTGAGATAAGGAAAAATCTGTTTCTGAGATGACTTGATGATGCAAATAGCATCTACCAGTGTTCCTGTTTGTCCACAATTAAATAAACAGATATGTATCCATATCTGGAGAAGCACTCATATATTTATGTAGATTTATACATCAGAGCTGTTTGCTTCATGCAGATTCCATGGAAAAAAAGAGGAGAAAGGAGGAGATAGTCAGTGAGTGAGCTCAAGGTCAATCCCTGTCATAGAAATTAAGCTGAAATTAAAGGAATATAATCGCACAAGTGCCTTTTTTATGTTCATTTTATAATGTGATACATTTTTAACCCAAAATAAATGAAAAATATTTGTTCTATTATCTTTTAAAATCTGCAGAATGTTTTATATTTGGTGCTCTTGTTTAATTTAATTTATTAGTTCACTTATATAGGAAGAAGTAGTAACAGACACTGAACATTTCAGCAGTTGTAGCCTAAGCTAACTTAAGTGTCTCCATTAAGGCTTTTTGCTAGATAAAACAGAAATATCATAAAGGGTTTTTAAAAAAAGTAGAAACATCTAATTTAGTTAGATTTTTCTGATATTCACCCGATTTGGGAATTCATGGAGAAAGGGAGTTTTTGTCATTATTTTTGTTTTCTGCTTTTTTCTACTGTGGATTCATGAAACTGATACATTCAGACAACAAAACACGACCATCAAGCCAAGCAGATGGGAACAATTTGTACCTATTTTTGCATCAGGCTTCTGTCGTCCTCTCTGTATCCAGAAACACAGCAGGGGATCAAGTGATCAAAGAGGTCTGGAAAAATATTTTCAATAGTGAGCGCCAGGTCCAGATAAGATAAAGGCACTTGAAAGTCAACTGTAAGAACAATATCAGACCATCTCAGGGAGAACTCCCACTCACATCAATTTTATCTCTTGTGTGATCACCATCCTGATTTTTGGTGAAGGCACAGCAGGTAGTATTTTTTCCAGTTTTAATTCTGCTGCATCAAAATTACAACCAGCTGTATTTTTAATGTAATCTTCATGCCAAGCGCAGGTTTTCAAAATCAGTTTTGTCTAGATTGAATTTTTAAAAAAGCCTTGGTGACCTTCAATTAAGGCAGAGATGTTGCTTGTTCAGTAGTGCTACTTCAGCAGCAGCCCTTCCTTTGTGTGCACTTGAGAATTAAATGATGCACTCTCTGTTTTGCACATACACACAATATAGCTTTGTGAATACCCCAGAGTGTTCATAAATAGTTAAGTCCTTTCGATGTTGAGTTGTGCATACATTTTCCAGTCTGCCAACATAGAAAGTATCCATGTTGGAAAATTGATGTTGGTGGTTGTTTGTATACACGCAGACCTCGACCAATTTGCCATTTTAAGAAAGTGTTGCCAAAAACCTTCTACATTACCTTCTATAAAAACAGATCTCTTTTACCACATGTTGCATGTACTTTTATTTCTGAGAGTATTGTTCAGTCAAAGCTGACATATGCAATAAGTGATTACCAAAGAGAGAACCAAAGAAAACTCAGTGTTTCCAGCTGACCCATTTTTTTATTGGGGAGGTTCCTGTGTGTCAGCTCAGATATTGAGATGATGTAAGTTTGCTGTAACATAGGAAGGAAATGTTGCTGCAACTGCTATACAAGAACTCACAGGGATTCCAATTCCCAGACCTCCCATTGAAATATTCCTCTCTTTCTTTCTCTTTTCCACTGTGATTCTGTTTTCTGTCTCTTTCTGTCTCTGCTTCGCTGACTCTGGCCTCCAGTATCTGTATGAGGGAATGAGGATCAGTGAGCTGCCTGTGGATTTTTCAGTGGTGTGGAATGGCAACTTCATTATTGACAACCCAGAGAATATACAAGGTAAGAACAGTCGATGTTTGCATAAAATAGGGTAGATAGCAAATGAGTTCAAATGTTAGAGCTGCACTTAATAGAAATACACAGGAGGAGATAATTTCTCATCTAACATGCCGTCAGTTTTCCTTTTAACAAATATTTATTTACCATGTCTTTACTGTGTTGCCTGCTTTGCCCCGCAGTGCACCTGTATAAGTGTGCAGCCCAGCGGGACAGCTGTGGCATGTGCCTGAAGGCAGACAGGAAGTTCCAGTGTGGCTGGTGTAGCGGAGAGGGAAGGTGTACACTGCGACATCACTGCCCTCTCATCAACCCTTACACCACTCGCTGGCTCAACCTGTCCTCCAAAAACGTGAAGTGTACCAACCCACGCATCACTGAGGTTTGCACTGATAATCAGCTTTCTGTCTTGCTTGCCCGCCCACTCAGATGCAGCTGCAGTCAGTCTGTCACTGTCTGCTTCCACTGCAATCTGGATCGTCATTCAGTCACAATTCATCATTGACAATCATCTTGTGCTGCAGTACTGCACTTAGAGTGCCAAATTGCAAATGTATTCATATTCCTTTCAACTTTTCGATCTGTTAAAGACACAAACTTCATGCTGGTTTCATTGGGATTTTATGTGCTAGAACAGCAGAATAGTGCATGATTGTGAAACAAAAGAAAAAGATACATGGTTTTCAAACTTGTATACACAGAGAAACCTTATAATTGTGGTAATCACTTTTTCCCTCTCAAGCCCTATTTCCATCAATGTGTGTTTTGAAGTATTGCATTAGAAAACATTGATGGAAGCTGCAAAATAACTTCCTAAGTGTTGAAAAAAAAATAAAAAACTTACACTTGCTTCAGATGGTGTGTGACTTTTCCGAATTTGATAAAGGGGAGATGCAGAGACACATTTGCCAAATAGGTTCTGATATAGCAAGCCTTCCCATCCACTGGTGATGGATCTGTCCCTTAGTAGATACACAAAATCCAAAACATTTATGAGTCCAAACCTTCAGGACAGTCAGATAAAAATAGGAGTGTTTGTAAACATTAATTTGTTGATATGCCAAAATATAGTTTGATATAAACCATACCATTGCAGCTCTGGCTGTATGTTTTGTGCCGTTGGCCTTCCAGTTGAATCTTCGCCCCAGCCTCCATACTTTTGCAGCCTGCCTGCAGGGCAGACATGGCAGGCAGTCCTGCAGCCTGCCAAAACTGCGCAGTATTTAGTTCCATCCATCTTCCCATTAACTCTGACAAACTTTTCAGTCCATAGAGAAGAAGAGAAGCATTCCCCCTGCTTCATGTTGGAATCACACTGGGAATAGTGTTCTAGTACTACACAATACTAATGTGCAGTATTGGTTGCACAAGAGTTTATCTAGAGTCTCGGGGAATCAGAGTGAAAAAGGCTGAACACAAAGCCATGTCACATTTTTTAGCAAAGGAGTGATAGACTGTACAGTTAAAGGTCTTTGTTGCAGCTAAAGTAGCTTTTAGTATGTACAAAACATTACTAGGGTCGAGCTGACAATACCTGCTCATATCTGTGCAGATACATTTAGAAATACTGACCTCTAAAATGTCTGAATTACTTTGTAAAGAAATGCAAGAAAACTAGGAATTCTATTCTTCCCTTGCTTAGTCTGGACACAGCATGGTGCTTTTGTCACCTACTTCTGTGAGGTCTTTAAATGCTTGGTGTCTGACAGCAGTTTGTCCAGGTTTTTCTAATTGTGAGGAAGAATCTGCATCCAATTGGTTATGTAGTTGGATGTGTCATGCTCAGAGTTCACTTCACCTTGACAATTTCTCCAAGGGCAAAGCGGGGGTGCATTCACACATAACAAGGGCAGAGATATTCAGTTTTAAAGGGCTGTTGTTTTGACATCTGCTTTCTCTTTGTGCAGTCTCTGTAGATGCTTCCTCATAGGTTTTAAGGTTTTTTTGCCTTTGTACAAGGTTAAGTCAGGCCTTTTAAAGTAACTTTGGCACATAGAAATAGTTTGCAATAGAACTTTGCAATCAAATGTCTGAATAAATATCTCTAAAGGTTACATAAATATCTTGCATTAGATTACGGACCTGCGTATGAGTGGCAGCTCCTTCTGCTTCCCCCACACAGTTCAAAAGCTCCACCCATTACTTCAATATCTTCCATCTCAGCAACACCTGGGTCGTGATCTGGAAGCGGTTAACTGTTTTCCATAATTGGGCCCTTGCTTGCTCAGGCCACGTTCTCCTCCACCCTGGTGCATTTGCTGTCACTGAGGAGTCAGGCCAGTTGGGACTGACTATTTAATTAGGTTTGGTAACACACCAGTGCTTTGTGGTTAACCCACCAGACCTCTCTGTCTCCACATAGGTTCATTCGACTTCCGACTTCACCACCACATACTCGGATCAAACTCTGGCCAATTAAAAACTTAATTCAACACGGTGGTTAATTGATCTGCTTATCTTAACCAGTTTTTGTGTAAAAAAAGAGAGCAATTCTAGGACTGTTTCCCCCTTCACACCTCTGTTTTGTACTTTTTTAACTTGTGCTTATCTTAGCTTATCTTTTTATTTTGTAATTTATAGCAACATGTTTGTTTCTTAGTCTTGATAACATAGATTTTAAATCCAGAATTAGAACACAGTTTTTGAGTTCTCTCCCCTACACAGTCCTTACATGGTATATATACACTTCAGAAGTGTATATGTTGAAAACGGCTAACAAATGTTTATATGAACACTTAAAGTTCTTAACAATAAAAGCACCTCCTTGAATACATTTTTTAAAAGTGACATTAGTGAGTGCCAACTTGCATACATCCTATCCAAGTTAAATGTATGCATATTTATACTTTGACTGGGATATTGCACTTAATTAATATTCCAAGTTATGTTTGATAGTTTGCAGTAGTATTTTGATTAAATTAAATGGATGCCAACAAAAGCAGCTCATGATTTGAATAAGTAATCTGCATTAATGCAGTCTTATAGGATGTCTAATTTACATGGATCTAATCCGAGCATGTGTTGCACAACTGAAGTTGGACTTTTATAAATCATTTGTAAATAATTGCAAAATGAGTATTCTCTCACTTTTGCACTCACTGATATTTAAAATTGCTATTTGAGTTAGTAGAAATAGTTTACACATCAAAAGTTATTCACAAAGACTGTTGAATGTCTATGGGTCATCTCTGCAGGTTTGGAGTCCATAATAAGAGACAAAGCAAAAATAGAAAATAAAAAGCACATTTAAAATTTGGCTGCAAGTCCAGAAATATTGGATTATTGTTCTCCAGAGGTCTATTGATTATAGCTGCAACTTCGCTGACAAGGTGGCACCTTAAGATATTTCCAATAATTGTTTCCTTGTTAACATGGCACAAATATTTACAGGGATTAAGACCTTACCGACTCAAGCTTATTTAAAATGAATGAAATGAACTGGTGTGGAAATGGAATACATTTTATTTGCATTTTTTTTTTTTATTTATTGGTGATTGACTCCAAAAGCTGCTGTGACATTGCATGGTTAAAAACCATTTTTCCAGCAGTCCTTGAAAATTCCCAAACTGATTTAAAAACAAAATCAGTTTGGTTTCTTAAGACATTAAACATTAAAATCATTAAACCTGGAAGAGTTGTAGTTTTCTTTTACTGACATTTAAAAAAAGAAATATCTGAAGATACAATTGAGACGGTGTGAATTACACAGAGCCAACTAGAGATCTGAATGAAAAGGGTTACTTTGAGCTATCTGAAGTCAGATTTTTTTGTGACCTTAGGGTTGCAAAACCAGCTCTGTGTGAGCATGTACTTCAAACACAGACCCACCTATTTTCTTTTTTCCTTTTCATTGGTCGTGAAGTTTGCTCCTCCCGGAACCCCTCTCTAGTCTCTCATTGATTACAGTTTCTTTAAGAAGCAGACATCCCCCCCAGTGGGATTGCATTTATTAATAAATTTGGTTTTGATTGTATGCACCGAAGCCCCCATCATGAGCTGATTTGTATACATACTAGCACATTAGTGGATGTGCCTACCACAAGATAGGCCTTTTAAATAATTAATGTTTCTATTAAATGCCAGGGTGCCTCCCACCATGGTCCATTAATATTGAAGAGATGTAAGCTCCCACTAACAGCAGAGGGAACAACATCAAATGAAGCTGGGGGTTAGACGTGCATATAAAAGGCGTCTGTTCAATTGGCTTTAGCCATATCTTCTGTGTGCATTTACAGCGAATTGAAGAGGCTGCCCTCCCTGCCAGTGACAGGCTGTATTAACTTTGGTCTGTAGCCTTGGGAAAGAAAAATGTCAGATTCAGAGTTCCTTTTTCTTTCACCTCCTCCTTGTATTTTTTTCTAGGCTAATTGTTGGAGCTGTGCACAGTATAAAATGTAGAAACCCTTAAATTAGATATATAATTCATTGCTGTACCATCATTTTATACCCAAGCCTTTAATTTGAACAAATTTAATTAGAGGGTAGAAATCACTGGGCAATAAACAATTGTTTTTAACAAGATCATTGCTGGCAAAGTTATTGGTAACCGTAACAATTCCTTTCAAATAAATGCAGCTAAATTAGATTATTGTTTGCGCCGCATTTATTTTTCAAGTTGATCAACTTCCAATTCATTAGCAATCAAGAAAAAATGATTTAAAAAAAAGCAAGCTGATATTTCTTTTAGTCACCAACTTCAAAATTACATGAAGACGCATTCTTACCTTCCCACCAAACAATAAGGGAGGTAAAAAAAAAAAATCTTAAAAGCTCACATTTGGAAAATGGATGTGTTCGTCATGCCACTTTCTATCTGTCGTCAATGTCTGGAGACCTTAGTTTGGTGAGGTGAGACTATAAAGGAGTTTTTCAGAAAAACATATTCTATGTTGGTTTGAACATGAAAGAGAGGGTGGATATGTGAAAAAGTACCTTATGTTGTGTTCAGACATGGAGGAACTGTGATGCTGTGGGCTTGTTTTTCTTCCAAAGACCTAATGAACCTTGTTGGATCTTAAAACAAAAAAAAAATCAAGTAAATTTTAAATAAAAATCAAGTTAATTCAATGAGCAAACTCGAAATGGAGTCTTTCAACAGGATACTGATCCGAAGCAAAAAAAATTGTTCTCCATATTATCTAAAATGATCTCTCTCTGTAACTTTGTGAATTTTTATAGATCATAACTATATGCTGTGCCTCAGGCAAAAGCACAAATTGTGCCAATAGTGATTTTGTTAAAATCATTTCTTTTTTTTACCTAAAGGATTTTTTCCCTGTGATTGTTCAGATTAAATGTACTCAAACAACAGATAGGGTTTTCACAGTTTTTAGTGTGAGATTGTGCTGCTGCAGTACAATATCAAGGCTTTTTTGTATGCATCTTTAAAAAGGCTGCCAATAAATGTGACTGGCATTTGTGTGTAAATTTTTTAATGAAAGCCAAACTGGTTTCTCCCATTTTTCCCCTCACATTTCGTCCTCCTAACGCACACTGAAAGACCTCTCTCTTTCCACCCCATATCTCTTAGCTCTCTACAAGACATTTAAGGCCCCATAAAGAATTTAGGATGCTGTTTGTTGAGAAAAAAAGTGACCAGAGCAGTTTTATCAAGCCCATTAAATTTTACTCACAATTAAACTTGACATCCTCAAATTAGTCTGAGTAGAGGCTAAAGACAATGAGATTAGCTGCAAGCTTCTAATCTGTGTCAGACTTTATTTTATTTCCAAAGTTAAATATGCTGTAAAAGGAGAGGAGGAAGCAGCTCCTGTGGGTAGTGCCTGAGAAGTTATGTGAAACAGTGAGCAGAAAACAGGAACACAGGGAAAAAAACGTGCTGATATTTCAACTTTTAATGATAGATGTGATGATTAAATGTTATTGCTGAATTGTCTTGGAAAATTCAGCAGTTGTAGCTGCAGTGACATGCCAGACTTGCATGGCCTGAAGGCACTTGGGATGGTGGATTACTCTCTCCTGTGTATATTGGGTTTAGCCATGCCTGCATCAGCACATCTTTTCCTACAATTACTTCAGCCGAATATGTCAAGACCACACTGACAGACAACCCCAGGCTTTTCACAAATCAGAATATTGTCTCTTCCTCCCTCCAGCTTAAATGCATAGCTTCCTACAAAATATTTCTTTTATAATGATTTCTTTCTTGAAGATTTGAACATCTTTCAATTTAGACAGTCTTTCTGAATAATACGACGCAATGTCAAAGAAAATAGGAGGCCAGTAATCTGGTCCCCTGTGTTCAAAGGACACAGATTAGACTGGAGAAAGTGCACTGATGGGATGCTGGGATAGCTGTGTGTATACAGGCTTGGTGTTTGTTGGGAATTACCCTTCTTTGACAGTGTGACAATGTCAGAAAGGTAGCAGCAGTGCTGGTAAAAGGATTACACGGGAAATGTGGATTGGTAGCACTGGGTGGTAAAAGGAATAAGGGCATTAGGGTGTGCATGCATGTCATACAAGGCTTCCTCTGGATGTCTGCATGATGATCCAAACTCATAAGTTGGTGTTTGGAGGAGGAAGTCACATGTTACCAACACCTGGTGTTGGTAGTTTCATGATGAGGAATACTTTTTTCAGGAGGGACAGGATAACTGATTAGAGTTACTGAGGAAATAGCAGGCAATTATTTCAGGGCAATTCAGGCAAAAGTTCACCTTCTATTTGGAGAACAGTCTGTATAGTCAGACCTGAAGTAGAGAAGTTTATGTCAAAACATCTACATGCAGTATTATAACTCTGTTGACCCCAGCTTTAAATACTATTGAGAATTGTGTCAAAATTTAAAATTTGCTCTGGATAGACAATCCAAAATGAATGAGATTCAGTTTTTCTGTACAGAGGAATAGACCAACAAAATTGTAATAGTGAGAGAAAGAGCAAATGGTAGTTTTGTGAAGTATTGACTCATGCCTCTTTCTTCAGATATTTATTTCTTTAAAAACATGAAAAGGCAATATGATCTTTCTTCTATGTCACAGTTATGTAGTACTTTGTGGTGTCAACCGACACAAAAAGGAATAAAATGTGTGCTTACAAGAATACATGTGGAAAGGTCCAAGAAATACCAGCTCTTTAGACACTATAGACAGGGTGATAAAAGAACTCAAGCGATGCTAAGATGATGCTACTGACGAGATTATCTACAGCATATCATTTTAACACATTCCTTCCTGAATGTAAAGGTCATTAGAATCAGGTTTACTGGCAATAAAAGCAGAGTATTGTGTACAGAAAGGATCCATTATAGATTTAGTCCCTTTGTGTATATAAGAAATGCCGAGACAAAGCGCCTTGCAGCCTGGAGACACTGGTGGCGTGTGCCTTTGAAGTGGTTGATTTTCTGTGATCCTGATGAATCAAGCCTCTGTCTGCCAATGGGGAGCTCAGTCAAATGGGTTTCATGCATGGATTAGACTTCCTGTGCTTATTTCACCACGGGAAAGGCTCTATTTCAGCCTTTAGGGTAGGAGAGACGAGGTCTCTCAAGCTTTTAGCTTTCCCATCTGTGATATAGCAACACCATCTCCGCCTCACCTGTCACCCATCTTGGCTTATGGGACAGAACAGAGTGGGATCACTCACCTACCAGCGCTACCCACCACACCCCAAATGCTCAGTCTGTCTTCTCCATTTCACTCCTGCTGTCTCAGGCCACGACAATGCTTATGTAACTGTCACTAAGTCTACTCAAATAGATGACATGGATATATTTAGCCATTATGTTTCTCCCCCATTCTATACCCTGCATGCCCAAGCATTACTAAAAAATTCATGTATTCAGACCCCTCAGGCAGTGCAGTGACACACTTACTTTACATCCAGAGCAATTAATGTCCGCTGAATCTAGATTACAATGCTGACGTCCCACAGGGAAACCGGCAGAGCTGCGGTGAGTGTACCGGGTGGAGTGTGGAGGGTGCACAGCGCATCAGTGACCGGTTAAAGCTCTTTGTTGGTTTTTGTTTTTGGATGAGTGGCCAGTAATAAGATATTGATTGTTTACATTGCCAAGTGACATCCACCCCCTACTACCCACCTTTTTCTTAGTTTCTGTCTTTTGTTAACGCCCTTTCCTGCCACAAACATTATTTTTACTCTTTTTTTCAATTTATTTTTTTGGGTCTATAAGGCTGGATTAATGCCAGGTCGACTATTCAGTGTGGCTTTCCAGCACAGAAGGCACTTTGCCACACTGTGCCAAGGTCATGCTGGGAAGCCATATTGCAGTTTATGAGGTGGCCTCCGCTAACCATTAATATTGCCCCTTGTTACATTAGCCATTAATAGCAACAGCAGAAGATGCTGATCAAGCAGTTATCCCGGGTGTTGTTAATCCCTTTCATTTCTTTGTGAATTTTATTACTTAATTATTGTCTATGAAATGGAAATCTTTACAGGTTTTTGATATTCTAATTCAGATTGGAGTGAGATGAGGGTGGGATCAGCAGTCGGAAATGTGGGATGGTACTGATATAAATGTATTTTCATTAAACAACCAAGGATCTATTTTGGTCAGAAATACTTTGTTGGAACAAACAACTGAATTTAATAGTCACTCCAAGTGGTTTACTTAGTGTTAAGTCTGGTAAACCCCAATAAGTTACCAAAAAATAATATTTTTGAAAAGAGTAGTGAATGCAAAGTCGCATTCACCACTTTACTGCTCATGTCAAAGTTGAGCAGTAAATTGAAATTTCATATTGTGGCTTATCCAGCAAGGAAGAGAAAAACTCAGAGAGCAGTAGCTTGGAAACCCAAGAAGTCAAATTTGCCTGTATTTAATATTTAAATATGACCACTTATAAACTGTTATTCTAAAACTTTAATTCTGGGCAAAGTGACATGGGGGAGATTGTGCTTTGGCTACTTATGCAACTTCAATGTCCTCTTGCTAACTCACCTCAAATCTTGACATAATTTGCTTTAAGAAGTGCAACATGTTTACATAAACATGTGTTCTGTGGCCTGTGCTGGTTATAAAAACCATTGTACACGTCTTGACAATTTGCTTTTTGTATCCTTCAGGTGACTCCGATGGCTGGACCACCAGAGGGGGGAACTCGGGTGACTATCTATGGCACAAACCTTGGCCTTGCTTTCTCAGACATGGTGGACAACGTAGAAGTGGCAGGTGTCAGATGCACTCCTGTGGAGAAAGGCTATATTATTGCTGAACAGTAAGTCACAAAAACAGGAGAATTAGCTAATCAGCTTCTTACTTTTTAGTTTAAACCTTTAGGCATTTCAGCATATTATGCTAATTTGTAGAAAGTGTTCTATCTAAGGAAACTCAGCTGATTGTATCGAGTGAATCTGGAGCAATCCCTCTTCCTGAAAGAGCATGTAGCAACTGTTTATTATCCCTTCATAATCTGATTTGTTTACAAAATTATGTTGCTTTGTTCTCAATTTTTTCCTTCCTTATGAAACGTCTTTATACTTAAAAGGTATTTAGTTATATAGTGGAAAAGCAAAATTTCAAAAATTAATTGGAAAAATAGCCTGAATTTAGTCATCAATATTAAACACAAAGTGCATTATTAAAGAAGGTGTGAAGTTAAGTGCAGTTCTCGCACAGAAATATCCTGTTCCTTCATTAGGGAACTGCTGATTTATCACACTTTGGTTGCTCAGTGCCTCATTTTTGCTCTGACTGTGTTTTGAAGAATCTTTCTGCTTGTGGTTGTCGTCAGCTTTTCTCCAAAGAATCTGGGTTACGTGGTGTAATGATTCATGTATTGATAAATATTTTTTAGTTCATAGAACCAGCTGTCATACACAACAGAAAAACAGATCCCTGCTTATTTTATATCCTTACGTACAAGGAGGTGTTCAACCTTATCTTTCTAAGATATCTATTTTCACCTCTTTCTCAGTACATTTCTAACATTTACACACCGACAACACTCCCAGAAAAATTACAAATGTTGCTATCACCTTTTTATTCTATAACAGCAATTTTCTCTTTTGAGGAAATAATCTACTGCAGCACTTTTTTCTATTCCAGGTGACAATATGCAGTGGGTTGGGCAAAATAATCTTGTTGTGCAAAGTCCTTAAAACAATTTGCAAATTGAAAGACAGTGTATTAGTTTAGTTTGCAAAAACTAAAAACTATCATGGAGGATATGACATACTTCTCTTTGCACTTTGGAGAACTCTTCTCTAAATATGTGGTTCAACTCATCTAGCTGCAGAGCATTTGATAAAATCAAGCTGAAAATCTACTGATTCTGGTCGTTGATATACACAATGTCTAAAATGCATACAAGTCTCTTTCAGATTCAGATTTTCTAGATTTTACTAAAAAGCATCTATTCAATTAATATGTATTTCCTTTTTGTAGTTTTGTTTTGAAAACATTGCCATTGTTGTAGAATTATAACTCATGGGAAGAGTACGCAAACTTCAGTATTGAATATTTTCAGCTTCTCTAACAAAGTACCATAATATTACAGCTTTTAAATTTGACCATTAACATGTATCTTGCGGATTTCAAAAGTGATTTGTTGCATAGAAAGGTTACAATCAATATGTTCACATTGGGACTGAAAGCTGCTCTCCCTCACTATCTTTCCTTTAATGAAGACTGGAGCTGGTCCAAGCAGTCTGTTCCTGAGTTTGCTGTTAGACCCCTGCAGGACACTAACCCATTTCTCTCAATGTTTCTAATCTCATCAGCTACAATCCCACAACAGCTGTGTGTGTTTACTTGTGTTTACCTCTCTAATTTTCCCATGCTGGGCGTACATCATATTAAAGTCTGTCCCAGTCACCCAGAACTAATGAAACACGGCCTGTGCCGCACAGCTCACCCATCATCTCGCTCCCGGCTAGAAATGCAGATGTTTGTTGACTTATAGACCAACTAGCTGGTATTTCATGTGTCTTCTTGTATGTCAGACTTTGTATGGGATACAAAGAATCATTCACACATTGCTTTAATAAAAACCTTCAAATCCGAAATCAGTTGAGTTTCTCTTAGCTGCATTTTCTTTGGAGATACTTCAGAGAAGACACAAACTACTCGACTTGCAGCCATCAAAGTTTTCATAATAATACAATCTGAAAGAGAAGTGCCGTTTGAATAAAAATGAAGCTTCAAACAGCATCCAGAATCTCTCGTATGTGCAAAAAAAAATTTAATAAAAATCATTTATTGCCTAAGAAATTTCACTATTTTTTTTTTTTTTTAAATCTAATCTGAATTGAGTGTAGTCATTCACAGAGGAATAAATTATATCAAGGTGTTTCTGTTTCTGTTGCATAATGACTGCTTTTGCCTGGCGATTACATTTACATGGAACTAACTAAACCTATTGACTAACTCAGACTTCTTAGGAACGTTCCATTAAGAATCCACAACTTCCTGTTTTTCTAGGGAAAAATAGATGCTGGTTTCTCTTATTTGCTTTTCAGAATGGGAAATACATGAAACAATGTGCTGGGACATGGCTACAACAACATAGCTACTAGTCTAAAAATAACTCTTTCCATTTTTATTCAAATTAAAGGTGATATTTTTGTAGATTTTTCAATGTTCTCATTAAGTGATTAGAGTGCTATAAACACTTTCAGAATATTTAAAGTAGAGCAAATATTCCCATATGATTTTTTTTGTGTGTTTGTGACTCACTTCAGCGGTTGGTTAAAGTAATTTCTAATCACCTCTATGACATAGTGTCATGTCGTGCTGTGAGAGTGAGATAACACACTTGCAGCTGACTGAATGAATATACATTCACATCCACACACTTTCAGAGGAGCCTTTAACCCTAATTCTTCCCTTGACCTACTTCTGCCCTCAGAATGAGAAACATCTAACCATTGCCCTATTCATATCTTATTGTTATTATACTGTTGAAAATGACACTTATAAACCGATGTTCTTATTAATTCTTATAACTTTTTAGCAATTGAAGGACATCAATAAGAGTGTGTGTCTGTGGGAAATTCAAGAAAATACCAAAACGTGTAATGAGCAGCATGTCTGTAGCTTGAAGCTGTGCACTGGCCAGCTGTGATTAAAATTCACATTGTGCCACTTGGCTTTAGGGGACAATTTGTCAGCAGCATGCTGATCTGACAGCACTTTAATCTAAATGGGGGAAGGCAGGGAAATTCATTCACAGTATGTGGTAGACAGAAAACAATATTTGGTCAAATTTGAAGAAATAACCCATCATTTGCTTTGGCAAAACTTGCAAGGAGTTGGATTGATGTGTTAAATTTTGTGCTGGAATTTTATTTCTGGAGTTCTGGGGATCATAACTGCTTAATTATAGGCATCTTCTAATCTAACTGTGGGTGTTTGTCTCCTGGCGTAATGCAGTTACCAGGCTTTCTGTGATGGAAGCCTGGTAAAGACACTTTTGCTTTGAATAGAACTCTTCACTTTGTCTTCAGCAGCCATTTTTTTTTAGAAACAATTCCCTTCTGCTACAGATATACAAGATTCCAAATTGAATCTCCATTATTCAACATTTCTTCCTTCTTATCGCAATGTATTAAGGAATTAAAGGCAGATATTTTTCAAAACATATTTTCATAAATCTATAGTTTAACAAAGAGCCGAAGATAAACCAGGGATTTTGTGTGAGAAATTAAACGAATCCCTGAGCCTCTGAAGCCTGGTAGGAAAAAAGAAATAATCTCCTTTAGCCACTTTCCACCACATGGTGCATCATACAGCACAAAACTCCCACAGCCATTTGTTTTAATTCAGATAATCGGTACTGGAGAAACAATACATCAGCTGTGCTTCATCAGCTCCACCCCTACCTAGCCCTGCCATCTGCTTCGCCACACACTCTGTCTCCCTTTGCAAACTGTGATTGCTCCTTGTTCTTTATTACTGCCTGGCACCAGCAATCGATAGAGACACTCACTTTATTATGTCATTTGATCTAGTCACCTGCTGCGTTGGTTGTCACCTGATCACACGCTATGATAGAACGGTATTGATCCTACTGCGTGATTTGCATTATAGTCGTATCACAAGAATGAGAGCAGCGCTGCTGGGGGGCCGCGTTGTTGGTGAGCAACTTTACTTCAATCAGATCAGGCTTCTCTTGGAGCGCCACAGGAGGAGGAGCATTGGTTTCATATATCATGTCTTCAAGGGGGTTCTGGTCGATAGCTGGATGTGTCCCCATAATGACATGCATGAAACAATAACAGAAGATTGCAATTAGGCCAGTAGATAAATCAATATCAAATAGAGAAGTGTTTGGATAGGTTTCTCAAACATTTTGTAACTATAAAATATAAATGCAAATATAAAAGTGACAGATCAAGTTCAATTCAGTCCAGCGAAGACAGACTTTTAATGCCAATTTCCTAATTAGTGCTTCGAACCACATCCACAGAACTAAGTGGTGGCAGTGACATGACTAAATGTAGAAACCATTAAATAAATGTAAATTAATTTAGAAGGCACTGTATGCATGGGACTTTTTTTTTTTTTTACTACTAACCTGTTTGATAAGAGGTGCATTACTCCTATGTTTTTTGTTTTGTTTTTTTCTTGTAGGATCGTGTGTGAGATGTCTGCGGCTTCAGCAGACAACAGACCCGGCCCGGTCCAGTTGTGTGTGGGTGAATGCAGACCAGAACTCAAGACTCGCTCCTCACAGCTCTACTCCTTTGTGGTATGTTTGCATTTACACTATATAGCAAATAAGTCTGCTGGACAGAAATTTTCATGTTTGGACTTCAGTCAATAAAAGTCCAACAAAGGAGCTGTGTATAAAACTACTGTATAGATTTAGTTAGTTGAACGAAGGGGAGTTTCAACTTGCAAATTAATTGTTATAAGGGCCTCTGGCAACTCAAAGCCTTTTAAGTTGCCATGCCAACCACCAGTGTAATTAGACAGCTTGGTGTTTTCTTATAAGTCAGTTTTGAAATATCACTTCCTGACTGACAGCAAAAGGTTTTAAGAGGTTCTCATTAGAATTCTGTGGCGGTTCATGGTTGGCAATTCTCCTGCTCTTCATTTATGATCAAGTTGTGAGGTTAAAATCGCCTCATAAATATTTTGATAAAGACTTTTTCCACTTTTCTCCCGTTTTGCAAGTTAATTTGTGTTTCACATCCTACAAGCTTTACTCAGTGAATATTAATAAAATATTGCTACATACTTTAGAAATGTAAACAAAAGTTGTTCAGGGATTTTCGTAGCTTATGAACTTTGTTAGCAATAGCTCTTTCAAATTGAGAGCAACGAAAACATCTGTAACTTCTTAAGTTGTTGTTCTAAACTGCAATCAGGTCCACATATGTAAGCATGCACTTTTTCCTCAAGGCCACTTTGTATCATAAAATCTCAAATTGTTGGGAATACTAAAAGAAGGAATGCTTATTTGTTGCTTTGATTGTAACAAGTGAATCCTCAAAGTTTCAATTTATACCGCTGCATGAATGGTACCCTTAAAAATATGCAAGCGACTCATGCCGTGATCACACACCATCACAGATGATGGTTTGACTCTTGTGCTGACAACACTCCTGATTGTCTTCCACTTCATGGCCTCGATGTCTGTTTTTTGAAAACAAGCTGCTCCTCTGTCTTTCTGACCATATGTCATATCATGTGCTTCAGTTCAGAAGACGCAAGCACAAGGGATTTGTGGTCCTTTCAGACATAAAACAGTTTCAGGATCCATTTGGGTGGAACAGCTGATTGCATTGTGTAACAAGGTTTTGCCGAGGCACTCTGGATCACATTTAGCTGTGCTGATGGAAGTAGACAAATTGTTTCTCAGGGAGTGCCTGGTGAGGACTTTCTTTCTTTGTAAAGTTCATTGCAAAATTTTGTCAAGTTACTGCCAACAATGTTGTGATTATTTCCTACAATTTTTTGTGATAGATCAACAAACAATGTAGAAATTCAACTCACGTAGTATGCATCCTCTTATGTTATCATTAGGGAAGTCTCTGTCAGCTGTGCACATTGAGAGAGAGAGAGATTTTTTTTTTCACCGCTCCTTCATAGCCAGGAGCTGCTGTTTTCCCACAGAAATGCTTTTGCAAGACACTATAAACACTAAGGAACACTGAAATTTTTTTTTAGTAATGCCTTTTCTGTGCTTTGATTTTTGCTGTTTATCCATAATATTGTGAATAGAAATATTCTTTGAAGTCTGGACATACACATGCTTTTTTTTTTTTTTTTTGCACTTTTACTGATTCAGACATTCTTGAAGAAAACACCCATTCATCATTGAGTGGATCGAAAACAATTTGAGTAAAAACAGCTTTACCACCATTCAAGGTTGACACTGATGTTCTTTTTTTTTTTTTTACTTTGAGCTCTAACCTGCTGATTCGTTTTTATTGTCTTTCTTTTGGCATTTGTGACCTTTTATTGGCCCAGCAGGATATGGGCAGAAAGAAAGGGGGAGACATGCAGCACAGGTCTCAGTCAAACCCAGGATGGTTGCACCGAGGACTGCAACCTCTTTATGGGGTGCCAACTCTCCCGCTACACTATCTGATTCTCCAAACTGCTGACATTTCTTTTTATAATCCAAAAGAAAATAATCAGATCACAATAAATTAAACCACACAGGGCTTAAGTTATGCATTAAGCCCTGTGTGGTTTTTCAAATTTTCAATCTGATTTTTACTAAGGTCAAAAAGTGATTCAAGCGATGTGTTAAAAAAAAAAACAAGACCCAGAGCCAAAAGAAAAGTTATCAATTTCTTCACTGCTTTTCAACCTCTTTATCCAACTTTATCTCCATTTTTCTGGTATTAAATTTAAGTAATGTCACAAAAAATTATTTAATATTTTACAGACTTCTTAGCAAACATCTCATAATGTCCCAAACATATTATATGACACCCAAACATGACTTAATGGGTTGGAAGGCATGTGTGAGAGGAAAGACTGACAAATAAATTAACTTGCTAAACCGCAAATAAGGCTTGTCTGTCCTACATCCTCTGGATTGCAGACATTTCTCTGCTTCTGTCACCTCAGTCTCAACCTGCACCCAGCAGATTATCCGCCATCCCATTTGCACTTCCTCTCTCACACTTCCACAATTAGCTTTCTCGTAACAATTAACAATGTTCTGTAATTAGCAGTGTTGTTCTCAGAGCACCTGGTTAGTTCTTGTGCCCTGGAAGTCACTCGTACTGTTGCAGACAGTTCTGAGTTTTGTCATTATCGAGCCCTTGTCTTTGCGTGTCCATGTCTCTTTAATGAGCGATACGCCTGCCACCAAGTGAAGATATTGAATTCTTCAGAGGTTTCTTCGCTGAACCTAGAATTTTCACTATTCCTTGCACAGACAAAAAGTGTGAGGACAGTTTCTTCTTTTTTAGGTTTTCTTTGTAACACACTACTCCTTACAGTATGTGTACAGACAGGAACAGGGTTATGAGGACAGGCTGTTCATGAAGTAGGTTCAGAAATGTAGCTTTATGATCGTGCAGGTAGAAATCTCTGTGTTTCCACATAAGCACGTGTCCCTGTGTAAATGTGCAGTACTCTCATTTCCCTTATGACGAGCTGTCTACGTGGATATTTCTCCATCTGTCTGTGTGATGGCAACTTAGCTGCCTGCTGCTGTAAACACTAGTTATTTTCAGAGCGTCTTTAAAAAGCTTCACTCAGACACAACTCACCAGTGCTCAACACGCTGTAGTCGGATCTCTCAGGGATTCTAAGAGCTCCTGGTTTTATCCTCTTTTCTCCCACCAGCGCTGCGCTCGGCTGCCATCAGCCTGGCAACATGAATAACTGTAATTTGCTTGGGATCTGTGATAATACATAAAGTTGTCAAGTGTTACCACAGGGACATGTTTCTGTTTACTCTTGACAGTATCTATCCTTTAATCTGTTGGTTGCTGTCTTCCTTCTGTGCTTTTTTTCCATAGCTTTAACTTGCTCTCAGGTCTATTTTAACCACTTTCTTCCTCTGCATCTGTCTGTTTTGTAGACTCCAACTGTCACAGGCCTGTCCCCGAGCAGAGGTCCAGAGTCTGGAGGCACTAAAGTCACCATAATGGGAGAAAACCTTGGCGCTGGCAGCAGTGTCAATGTTCAGTTTGGAAACCAGACGTGCGAGTTCTTCGGGTGAGACTTCCCACTCACTCACATTTCTAAAGTAGCTCTGATCTAGTGGACATAAAAGTTTAATTTGTCTTTTTATGTGCACTTTAATAGTTGTAATAGATTTTTCACTGTTCAATTCATTGTAGGAGCTGAAATGTTCCAAATGTATAGGGTTATACTGAAGAACAGAATGTGTTTTGTTGTGTTTTCGATGCATTATGGTGAAATGTTTCAATTTCTATCATTTCTAAGTAGGGGTGGATATTTATCATAATGTTTACTATTTATTGTAATGACTATATTAGCATGATAATACATTGGATTAAGGCAATAAATTCCACCTGTCATTATTGTTGGGGTTTGATATTTTTACTCTTTATCCACTGTCTGTTCAATGAAAGCATTAGTAGATAAAAATTAATTTGAAAGTATGATTAAATGCAGCGAATGTACGCAGTTTAGTGATACAAATCACAGTTCTTTTCTTTTAGTGCATGATAAATGAGGATGCTTTTCAACATCACTATTTTTGCTTAGGAAAGGTCAACATTTTTTGCGAGTGTATTAACATAGTGGAGAAAATTTCCATAATTAGAGAAATTTGTTTTTAACAAAATATGAAGTGGCATGGGTCTTTATTTTTTAAGATCCCTCAAAAAATATAGTATTTGTTAGATGAAGGCTACTTTGCTCTTCACTTAAGTTGAGAGTTTTCGGAACTTTAATTCACAATACATGAATATGTTTAGTTGAGTTTAAGTATGATATATCGCTTAACAAGTGACCTCTCTCTTTGATGATAACCCATGTTCATCATTCGATCATGCATTGTGAGCAGGATACATAGTTAGATTAACACAAAACTTTTTATCAGACAGAAATAAACCTTCCTCAATAATCTTCTGAGTCAAACTTTTATAGTTTCTTGTTTGAGCTCAAGAGGAGGATGCATGTGAGTGTAGCCAGATCTCTGATCATTCCTCTTTGCACGCATAATTGGATTAGATCATCCAAAGACCTCTGTATCCACCAGCCTTGTGAAATATTTTACCAGAAGACTAAAGACTGTCCTGTTGGCAAAAGAGAGATTAGTAACAACAGGAGAGCCAAAAGTTGTGAGTTTTTATTTGATAAAATTGACAATTTCTTAACTTTGGATTTAACCCCACTGGATAAAAAAGTCAAATTGAAAGGTTGATTTTTTTTTATTTTATTTATTTTTTTTATCAAATCTTTCAGTGTGAGATTATGCTGCTGCTATAAAAGATTTATTTATTTTCAGACTTTTTACAAATTTTACATGAGGTTCCAATAAATGTGGTCGCCACTGTACATGCTTGCTGTGAGCAATTCAAAACAGAAAGGTTGGCTTTTTAAAAATGCGTTGAATCATTGCCATTAAATAAGATGCACTAATTCTCATCTCTTCCTTTATTTTCATTTGCTTTTACTGAGAATTCCCTCAGGGAATATCTTCTTTTCTTCTGCTGTCAGAAACTAGTAGATCTTAATCACACCTTTGAATACTAGCTGCAAGAAAACCCTTTTATTCATTTCTATCCACTTCCATTCTTATTACCTTCCCATCGGTGTGTTTATGCCCCCCTCGCCTCTCCACTGGTTTTATTTTATATTTTATTTTCTCCCTCTCATGCTTGCCTCCATCCCTCTTCACCATCCATGTTTTCATAACTCGGATACTCCCCCATGCCCTCCTTTTTGCATTTCACTCCTGAAGGAGCCTATTTTAAGCCCTGCAACAGTAATGTGACTATGATGTTGTAAGGCTGAGGAGTGAGGGCATTTTTAATGAGATATGGGGTTAATTGGTGGTTTGTGCCACTGCATGGGAGGAAGAAGAGGATGGGGACATTATGCCACAAGATCTCCTCTGCTAATGAATTGGGACAGATTCAGAAGGTGTGCAGGTAGATAATGGAGTACTGAGAAACTATATTGTAAAAGGAAATGCAAGTGGTGGAGGTCCTAAGTGCACGCATGAGGTGCAGCTGTGCTCACGCTGCATTATTATTCAGGTAATTACACAACAGGGCTGGTAGAACAAATCGCATAATATATTCAGTTGCTGTAGGTGGTGCCTTTTGCTCATGTAAATTGAATATTTTTGTTGGTAATGTAGCTTTTAACAGGGTGTCATTATTTTATCGTACTTTCATCTAATCTCTGCACAGATGAAGCATGTCTTACGTATTTAAACTCTGCTGATAAGATCTAAATGTTTGCTTGTCTTTAAGGCGGACCATGAAGGAGATAGTCTGTTACTCGGCCCCATCCCTGTCCGGGGTCAGCTCAGTTCAGATCAGTGTGAGCGTGGATAATGCCCAAATCAGAGAGAGCCTCACCTTCGAGTACATAGAGGACCCCACTGTCCTGCGGATCGAGCCGGACTGGAGCATTGCAAGGTAACCCAAATTGCACTCCACACAAATTACATTTATCCACACGCTCTCTAACCGAGGTGGAGATTTTCTCTTCATCCAGATCTTTAGAGAAAGTCAGTTCAGGTCAGCAACAGGAAGCAGACAGGAGTCGATGCTGCACTTCAAATTACTGTTCGGGTTTCTTCCAATTAGTCTGGATCTGATAGAAAAGACCCAGCAAACATATTGGAGGGGATTGAGGTTGAGGTTGAGATTCAGCTGTGAAATGAAGTGTTAACTGGTCTGTGGAAACCTTTTCTTTTGTGGCTTTAACAAAATAAAGTACGGAATTTATCGAGTGTAGAAAAAGCTCTCCAGTCAATACCGTGATATATGATCATTTCTACAGTACGTTAACCTTAGCCTGAAAGCAGAGCACATGCAGTAAATTGCAAAAGTATTCACACCCCTTGAATGCAAAATGTTGATTCAGCCCAATGAATCAACACTTTGTACCTCCGTTTGTTGGTGTTAAACCTGCAAGTCTTTAGCAGTGTTAATCATCTTTACACATGAAGAGACTGAAAATGTTGCCCTTGTTTTTAACTCATAAATCTGCTTTTTTATTTTTATTTTATTTTTTTTTAAGCATTCTGTTGTAGCTCTGGTTGTTTGTTTACATTTGTCCTGCTGGAAGGTGAACCTCAGCCCTGGTCAAATCTTTTGCAGCCATAACAAAATGGCTTCATTTATCTCCTTTCAAGTTTAACAACTTTAACCAGATTCCCTCTCCTTGTTAAGGAAAACATGCATGCTGTCACCACCATGTTTCACCATGGGAGAGATCTTTTTAAATTGATTGACAATTTTAGTTTTCCACTACACACTATATTTAATATTTACTAATAAGTTGAAAATACTTGATTTTATTTAGTAGTACCAGAGTGAAGGCGCCTGAATACAAAAGTACACCTTAATTTAATTTTTTTTTGGTAAAAATGATCAAATTATTGAAAACTGTCTCACAATAAAATACCTTCAGGTTTGGAATTACAATGTAATGAAATGTACAAAAGGATTTAGAGATGTTTCTATGGTGCTGCATCCAACTAATGTTTGCCCTTTTGACTGTTGCACCACCAAAAATGGAGGAGGAGTCATTCTGAACACCTCTGCCTCTCATTAAAAACCCCTGATCAGCACCGCATCTTAATATGCCAGAACTGTCTTTGTATTTCAAGCTCAAATCTGTGTAGTTGATTGTAACGAGTTGAATTGGTTAAAATTCCTCTCTAATCATCCTCCACTCCAGAGGCCATCACCTCCCAAAAGAAACTTAACGGGGGGATTCGATTTGATGCATTAATTTTCATCTGAAGGGGAACATTTTGAAGAGGTACATCAAGGTTAGAAAGTTTAGTGAGAATTGTCTTTGAACTACTTTGCCGCTCTTTCCCTTTCTTTTCTCAGTCGTGTTCTGTTTGGAAAGATTTTAAAATAACTTTTTAATAAGTCTGTGAATACAAATATGTTGACTTGATGTATTTTTTTCCTATTTTTTTTTTTTTCTTTAGTGGCCACACCCCTCTGATGGTGACAGGAACCAATTTGGATGTGGTCCAGGAACCCAGAATTCGGGTGAAGTACGCTGGCCGGGAGTCTGTCAATGTAAGAGCCAATGATTCATCTTAACCCTGAACCTGTGTGTGCAATAGAAATTGCTGACAGCATCTACGAGTGTGCATACTGTATTGATGTGGAACGGTAATATCAAATTGGGTCCAAGTCGACACACTCAGAAAAAGCCAAGTGATGCTTAGCTTTGGAAAAATGTGCCAGCTCTCAGCGGCCCCTCTAGGTCTGTTTGCTTCTTTGACTTCTGCTTCAACTATCCCTTCTTAAGCAAAGAGCATGTGAGTGATACAGATGGCAGTGCGAGTGATCTGCATGCAGTATTCATTCAAGACTTTTAATCCATCCATCCATTTTCTACCACTTATGTGGGTCAGGGTCGTCTTTGGCAGCAGCGTATGCACAGCTCTGAAACCTCCTCCCTTCTTCCCTGTCTTACTCTCTCCCTTCCTTCCTCCCTCTGGGAGATCTTGGCGTTCCAAAGCCAGTCAAGTGACATAATCTCTGCAGCATGCCCTCAGTGTGTCTCCTGGTTGCGCCTGTCTTTAACATCATACCTGGAAAGTTTCCAGGAAGCTTCATAGTTAAATAGGCAAACCACCTCATCTTTTTTTTAATGCAGGAGCTCTATTCTGGTAAGTCTGATAAGATTTTTATTTTTTTAAATAAGATCCAAAACATGAAACATTAAACCAAGCATTATTTAACATGATTTAATTTATTTTATATAAATATATTTATAGCATTTTCTTACTGTTTTGTTGTTCATACATAGACGTCTGACAATTGTAGCCAACACATATTAGCTAGTTAACTATAGTTTCAATACTAGACAATGATTTTTTTTCTTTTTAATCCATGTATTTTTTATTACATGCATGAGAAACACATAGTGGCCTCTGTTCTGCCAGCTGACCAGCAGTTCAAAGCAACGGGTTGGGTGTGAGAGTGAGAATGGTGTGTTCTTCTATTGTTCTCTGATGTTTAGAAATGGTTGGTTTTCTCCTGCATTTGTTTGTAAATGCAGGAAAACACATGACTGATTCCAAAATGCTATATATGAGTGTAGCTTTAGCACCACATCAGGTAGATTCTAGCCCTGAATTTTAAAAGCTAGTACATTTTTGCACCTCTCTGCACATTATGTAAACATTCTGTATTTTGGGCCCCATAGTGACTGAGTCCCAGTGAGATGGTCCTGGTTTTAATATCCTTGATATCAGTGGTGTGTTTAGATGAACATGTTATCTAGAGATTAGAAGTTCACTTTCTGTAGTGGAGCTCAGAACAATTGTAAAAATATTATTTAGGTTGTCCCACACCTGTCTCACTTTGACCTAACTCCAGTTCCATTCAATTTACATCTAATTTGATAAGTTCATGACAGAAAGGAAAGGCATTAGACACATTGTGTCTAAGAAAAGCAAAGATTGTCATCTTTTGAATTTCGCTGTAGTGATTGACATCGTTGAATCAGTGTAGTAATCAAATGGGATTGATTTGAATTTTACCAACCTTTTGAATTCAGATATATTTTTAAACAGTGACAAAAGAAATCTCTGTTTGTGATGGACCGGTGACCTTTCAAGGTTTATGTCCTACCTTTTGTACACTGGAGATAGAAAGCAGCCCCTGTGCAATATACAAGGATTAAGTGGGTATAGAAAATTCAGCATTAAATGGATTCTGCACCACTAGGGGCAAAACTATAACCTTTGGTACATGAAAGATAATTTCTCCTCTGGAACTGTCTGTTCTTCCACCTGAATGTATAATGGTTGTGGGAGGAAGCCAGAATAGCTTTCGAAACCACTGCAGAAATTCACTGAATAGCCAACTGGTTTTCAGAATTTAATAATTTTTTACTTTTACCATTAACCCAAAGGAATTCTTGAATGAGCATTTTTGTGCTTTTCTCATTATTTTATAAGGAAGGGCAGAAATAAAACAAGTGTTTATTGACCAGAGACGTTTAAGACCAACATTAATTTCTGGGCTTCTGTGTATAAAATTGTAGAGCAAGCTATAAATGAATAGCCACACTATACTACAATGGAACAGCCTTGAAAGACAGTATTGTTAAACTTGTGCAGCGAGGAACTGGATGACAGCAGATAGTAGGTGTGGGGTCAGTCTATGGGAGAATGTTGGAGGTGTCCATGATCGGGGGCAAGGAGACTCTTAATAGCTTTCAATGGAAGATTAACTGCAGTCAGAAGCCTTTGGTCAGCATAAAGAGCGCTTGTATAATCAAAGTCTTAGCTGCAGGAAATCGTTACAAATTACATTTGATCCCCAGTCCTGGGGGCCCTTGTTTAATTAAGAGGATGGGATCTCCTCTCTGTGGTTTGAGGTAAAGTGGGCAGAACACAGAGAGAGGAGGATCAAACAGTAAATTGGATGCAGATAATGCTACTGGTTCGTCCAGCTGGTTAAAATTTATTAAGTTTGATCCATTGGGCATCCAACCATCTTAACGCCGTCCTCACATTCACATGGTCTCAAGCATGAGGTGAACTTTTGTAGGTGATTTTATTGCTGGTTAATACACATGTATGCACATGTGCACACATAAATCAGTTTAACAGATTTTATCCCACATTTCACATCATTCTCTGCAATCTCAGCATAATGACTCGCTACATTAACAGTCTTAAGACTAAGTATGCATCTTAGTCTTTTTTTATGTGCATAAAAGATGGTTTTATATATTTTTTAATGGGAAATTGTTTTCAATGTTAAATTGAAGTTACCAAAAAAAAGCAGTTATTTTATGTGTTTTAAGCAGGATAAATCAACACTTAATAAATTAAGTGTGAAGGCCTGCTGAGATTTGACTCTTGTGTGTAATGGCTGGGGGGCTGCATCACCTTCTAAAACATTGAAAGGGAGATCTTGCTTTGTGCTTCACTTTGTTTAATAAAAATTAGCATATTTTAAAAGAGCCATCTTCACTGTTTTGATTGTCTTCATAGCCATAGAGAATGTATTACTTCTATGAATGTTAATGTTAAGTCATCCTTTCTTGTTTCAATATAGTTCTCCTTTTTGTCACCAGTGGAAAGAAAAAAAAACAGCCTATAGCAATAGGAGCTGCTGTCTGTCAGCTATAGCCTTCAAATGATCACCTGTCTCCCACTAAATTGCTTCTCTACTCTGTCTCCCTTGTGTCACCTACACAGACTCACAAAGAAACTAGCAGAGGTGGGGTGAGGGTTGGCGGGATTGCCAATTTTCTTTGTAAAATGCTCTGCATCTGTCAGCAGATTCACAATTGAAACATTAATCATGATCTTGATTAAAGCCTAAAGGCTTATTTTTCAGCAATAAAACATTTACCTCTTCCAGAAGAATCTCATCTGCAACATTCACCACATATAAGATGTCTAGACTAAGTGTTGTCATCGGCACGTCTGGTACATTTACAGCCCTGCTGATTATAGAATGTTTCACAGCATGGATGCGCTTCGATGAATCTTGCTTTCACAGACTGGAAGGAGCACAGAGTTCATGTTAACAACAAAAGCTGTGTATTAGATGTCCAATGTTGATTTTGAAGGACTGCCTGCTTGGAGACACTCTTTCTCATTTTTGGCTTCTATGTTGAACAACGACATACCAATTTCCAAATCATTTCATTATTAGGGGGAATTTTTTATGTTATTATTATGCTATTGAAAGCTTTGTACATGTTTTGTAGTACAGGAAATGCCTCAGCATCTTGCCCAAACTACTGTATAGGCAAGATGTGGTTTAGGCAAGGTTCCATGGACTATGTTGTTTTCCACAAGCAGCTAAATACAAGTAGATGGTGCCAAATGTGGCAAAGCTTCTAGTGTTGACTTCTCCACTTCTCATAAAACTCCACTATCAATGTCTCCTCAAATCAAATTCAATTCAGTTAAACTGCCAATAGTGACAAAAGTGTCTGCAGCATTTTTTCAGGATGTTTTGCATGTGTTATCTGTACCAGTTTGCAATAAAAACATGATGAATATACGCTTATCAAGACCAGCAGACGACCGCAATTTGCACTTCTTTTGTGACAGTTGTGACAGTTGTTCTCTCTGGAGCTACAAACGCAGCAGGTGCAGAAACGCTTAAAGAGAAAATGAAAAATATTCCTTTGGTTTTGATAAGAGCCACCTCTCAAAAGTTTAAGATCAGTGCAACTTCCTGTCTGATTACACTTTTTTTGCATAGAGATTCATGCAATATGTTGCTGCAGTTACTTCTGAAGGTTGCTTGGTGTGTGAGTCTACCAGCTTTTCACATTTGGCGGCTAAAATGTTTGTTAAATAGTTCATGTTCATTTCAACTGAAAGGAAGAGCAATTTTTTGTGTCTCGACATAAATCATTGATTAGATTACAAACACTTGACAAAGCCAGGCGTAACTTTAGTTGAACAGCCTACTGGATTTGGGTCTCTTGCATAGAATCTTAATCAAATAAATCCATTTTGAGGTTGTAACTGGTCATAAGTTCTTGAATCTTTTTTTTAAAGCACTGTAAGGACATACATGGGGGCAGCCGTTCATAAATGCATACATATTACTTTAAAAGGTCAAGTTTGAGAAGTAAAGTTAAAGGCAAAATCTTGTTTGGATACGTTTCATGTGCATATAACGGACTCTTAAAGGTGGTTTAAATCCAGACTCATTGTGCTATTAAACAGAATAGAATAGAATAGAATAGCATTTATTGTCATTGAACAGGATTCAACAAAATTTCTAATGCAACTCCTGTGCAAAAAGTCAAATATATACAATATTAAATAAACAAACACACAATAATAATAATAATATATACAACTTAACAGCCACCAAATGTTACCTGCATTCCTTAATCTCCTAATACTCTTCCCTTCTGAGAAACCTGGCTTCTCTTAACACCTCCATCATTCTAAATTGCCTAACTTCCACCTACTTTCTGCTTCTTATGTTCTTCTCTCACTGAAACAAATTAAAATAGATGGCTTTTAATGTGATTGAAATTAGACTTATATAGGCTTCAGAGCATCTAAGTGACACTGGATGAAAACAATCAAACCTAAATGGCTGTAATTCAGTACTTTTGTCACTTTGAAAAGGCAATACACTTCAGGAAAATAATTAACAGCAGGCTTTCTGCATATAGCTAAATTGGCATATAGACATAAAAAAATAGTTGAAAACAGTAATTCAGAGTAAAACCAGAGCATTGAAAAAATCCAGAGTAGGCAAAACCAAGTACAGGCACATTGTAACAATATAATATTAAATATTAGCATCCAGATGACCTTTGACAGTTACATTTTTCTCCTCACAGCTCCACCAGCTCTTCCTTTCGGTTTATCTCTTAGCTGCACTGGTCAGAGACCTTTGCCTGATTGAGTGGGCTATAGCAACACTGTAGATCATTGTAATGCATTCAGCCCGAGGGGTTGAAGTGGTGCTACCTTAAAACTGCCTCGCTCTGTCCAACAGTAGAGGAAGAAGATGGATGAGGCAGCCATTCCCAATTATTTTCCTCTTACTGCTGACCTCAATTCACCTTATCAATTCTCCTCATCACTTTATCAACCACATGTAGTCTCCAACACCGACTTGCTTAAAGGAAGAGGCGTAGCAGTGTAAAATCTGTTTTGGTTTCATTTCAGATAGAAATTCTTTGTGATTTGATGAAGAAAAAAATTATACATGTTGCTTTTTTTTAGCAAGTTGGTCTTGCAGAAACTATGGGAAAGCAGAGTTGCACCGAAGAGAATTTTGTAAGCAATAACAATTTTTGTAAACTCGGTTTGGTTCTGATTCCTTAAGACTTGTAAGAACATATAAGAACAGTATTTAAAATATTTTTTGAGCCTTTATGCCATAAGTAGTCATTAAATGTTAATGTTCGGAGCAGAGGCGATGTCACGCTGCTTGAATGTCTGAGAGCTGGTGTAATAACAGGGTTCACTTATTAAAAGAGCTTTAGCACAGTTAGCATAGTTAGCAGTTTCTGTTTATCTTCACCAGATAATTCAGATCATTAACACTGAGATTCTCTTTTATTTCTTGGTTATATATATTTTAAGTTGTAAATAATAAAATAAATATTAGTTATAATACGCAAATAAAATAACAAATGCAAACAAAACAAAAAATAATAATTTAATTTGTTTTAGAAACATTCTAAATTGTAAAACTAATTACAAGCTTAAATCTAGCATGTTTCTTGACAGATGGAGAAAAAAAATAGTTAATTCTTAAATGGTTTTTAAAATTTTTCCCCATCATAAGATTTTATTTTAAACATCTGACTGATTGTGAAAATAGACAAGTTTGGGTCTTCTTCCCATACTTTCTATTCTTGCGCATGGTGCATTCACTGATTGAAAACATTAGATTTTTGACTTTCTAACCAGACAATCGCAAATCAAGCTGAGGTTTGGATCAGCAGCCTGTTGCTGATCCAGATACTGGAGACTATTCGTGAAATGTTAGTATTGTTTGTTAGTGTTCCTGTGTCTTGAAATCCATCTCTTCATTGCCTCATCCAGAGAGGAATCGCAGTGTCCCATTTTCTTTATCCAGTCCCACAGCACCGAACACACGCATGTCTATTTTCATCCCTCGTCCCTTTGGATTTCCACTCTTAACAGCAAGAAATTCTAAAAACCATCTTACATGACGATGGCTGCAGTTTTTGACTCCTGACAGGAATCACTGAAGGGAAAGGATTTCAGAAAAACTGGAAAGTGCACAAGGACAGTACAGGAATAATAATAATAAAAAAAGCACAGTATCCATCTCCGGCAGAGCAGATGGTAGTCGGAGCTTTAGTTGACTTGCAAATGTCCTGCTGTTCCAATGTTACAGTCACGAGGATCCTGCCGGAGCATCTGGGCTTGTCTATACAACATGTCACTATGCCAACAGCGAGAATGAGACTCATGTCGAGCTGAACCGGAGGACTTTCAGCCCTTAAACCTCCACTGTCTCTTTACTCATCAACATAAGACACTCTTTGACTGACTCATTTGCAATGTTTCAGTGTCCTACAACATAAAGTCATCACACCATATGTAAAAAAAAAACAACTCACAATATCTTGGATAACCTTATGAAAATCATAGGACACAGCTTTAATAATGATACAGTGTATTATAAGGATTACAATTAGAAGTCATTGCTTAACAGTTTGCTTTGTTCTAGCAGTGAACTGCAAAAATGGGCATAAATGTCTGTTTTTGTTGCTCTGGAACAATATGGTACAGATTACATTAATTGTTTCTGGTTCACTGCAAAGTGGAGTCCATGCATTCAAAAGCTAGTGTAAAATTTTCATTAACTTGCATCTCTTCTCATAACTTTTCAGTTGTTAATGTGATTTCACACAACCAAAAAACTTGCTGAAAGTGTGTCAGGAGACCTATCTGGCTCTGCAATCTATTTTTAAAATAGCTTATCTTTCTCGCTCTCGTCATGCGCTGCTGCCACTACTCCGGCATGTAAAAGTGGGAAACGGAAATAGAAAAATGCCAAGTCCAGGCGAAGTAATTTCCAAGCAGTGAGAGCTTGTTGTTGCAGTTACACTCTGCTGGAGCTGTAATAATATGATGCAGGTTGATAAAACAGTTTAAATGTCACAAATTGTGTGCAGCAATAGTGTTCAGTTGTTTAATAATGTAGTGAAATAGTAGAAAATATTCACAGATAATTAAGCAAAAACAAGACATCTGTTGCTTACTCCTAAGTTTGTCCATGCACAACACTGGGAATATAATTTACTTTTAATGTTTGCAAGCAATGCAAGAGATTAATAGATGTGATATCTGGAATATAAAGACATCTAAAAAAGCCTAATTAGCAGGCATTGGCTGCCTGCTAATTAGGGCAGCCAATAAAGTTCTCACCGTATAGTAACCTTGAATAAAAATACTAAGTCCAGCGAAAGTAATTTCCAAGCAGTGAGAGCTTGTTGTTGCAGTTATTTACACTCTGCAACAACAAGTATAAATATAGATTGAAACAAAAATGTAAAAAATCTGTCATCTGATACGTGCTGTTAAGTTTCAGTTACTGGTGAAAGTTGGACAAGTTTGCTCTTTGTTTATAATGTTTATGGTCACAATTTCTAGGTGCAGCCCAGATGTTTAAAGGATCTTTTTCCGTGGCCTTAGCACTGAGTCGTCTTTTTGCAGGTTTCATTAGAGTTATTCGTTGTGGTGAAGATAGAGCTGAGCCAAAAGGCAAGCCTCTTGATTTGCAGGTCAATGTATGTTATTACCCTCATCTGTTGTCACAAGTTCTGAGTATTGACAGAAACATCGAGGTTGCAGATTCACACAACCAAAATGAGGTTCCTCCACATGAGGATACTTGAAAACTCTTGTCTCCAAAAGGGGAGTTTGTAAAGATGTCAGTCCCTTCCTTCAGTTGTGCTCCTGCAGCTCACCTTACCTCATGCTGGCAAAATCCAATCGGTGTACCTTACATAGACGAGTTTGCATCGATCTCCCTCGCTTTCTCCACAGCAGCAGACAACAGGTAGGAGGTGTGGTAGCTGCTGCCGTTCTCTATCTTTGATGATATTTAGCTCTAATTAAGTTTTTTCCCCAGAGAGAGAGCTGGAAAGCAGTGAAAGGAGATAAAAAAGAAAACTCTGCAAGCAGAGTGCTGTGCTGCAATCAATCCTGTCTCCTCTTTCCCTCTGCTGCTGAGCCAGGGAGGATGGATGGAAGGCAGCTCTCACATCTGGGCAAACTGGAGAGAAGCAATAAAAGAGCCATAGCTCAAGCTTTACCTGGGAAGACAGAGGAGCCTTACCTCCATCTTTTGTGGATGTTGTGCTCAAGTGTTTTACAGTGAGGCAATAGCAGCAATTTATTTCTAGTTTTATAGAGGCTTCCTCCACAATAAAGATGGATTTAATGGTAGCAAGTAAATCCCTTTTCCTGAAAAGAATTGAGATTTTATGTGGCAATTATTAGGCTGGTTAGCTCCCTGTGGAGTCCATGCTGGTAACAATGTGTGTGACTTAAGAACTCAGATTAGGTTATTAGAAATAGATGACTTTAGAAAGGATGAGGTTTAGCATTTTATTTTTTAGCCAGAGAAGAGAATCTGGTTATTGCAGATGTTTAAATCACAAGTTGATTTCAGAGTCTCTTGGCTGTTTTGTTGCATAATGTGTATGGTGCACGGCAAAAAGTGACAGATGCTCCTCCTCTGTTTCTTCCCCTCTCCCTGTAGGTGTGCAAAGTGCTGAACAGCACCACCATGAGTTGCTTTGCTCCCTCCCTCATGGCAGAGTACCTTCCAGGTTTGGACGCAGTGAAACATGCGGATGAGTTTGGCTTCATCTTCAACAACGTCCAGGCGCTGCTGGTCTACAACAACACCAACCTTATATACTACCCAAATCCTTTCTTTGAGTCCCTCAGCACCTCAGGTATCCTGGAGCAAAAGCCTGGTTCACCAATCATCCTCAAGGTAAAGAACGAGAAGATGAGATAATGTCCCAAGTTTTGAACATGTCAGAACGGTGTTCATCCAAAAAAAATGGAAAGAATATTAGACTACTGCAAACCTACCAAAACATTGTAACTCATGAGAAGCTGCAGACATCCAGAGCTTATTAGAAGATTTCAATACAACATAACAACATCTGATGACAGCACTGTATTAGGTTTGAGTTGATTGAAAAAAATGGATGTATATTTTGCAACTTTTGGAGATAATCTGTCAGAGACTGTAGAAATGTGAGACTGTGAAAGATGTTCACCTTCCAGTAGGAACCCTAAACACACAACAAAAGCTACAAGAGAGTGCTATACACCAAAGCATGCTCATCAAATTTCAGACCTAAAACCAATTGAGAAAATGCAGAAAATCTGCATCCAGTCTTAAATTTTAGCTCTTTCTTTTAGCGCCAAAGAAAATGGGCAAAGATGGGTTTGTGCCTTTAAGCAGAAGACAGTTGCAAAGCACTGCAAGTCATTTATCTTTGTTCAAAATGTTACTTGTCTTTATTTTTACTTCACTGGATTGTGGAATCAGCTAATTTCCATAATAATTTTGTTATTTCTTCGTAACAGAATGTATAAGGTAATATAATTCAGTCATTTGTCTCAATCATCTGCTGTTGCTGCACTGTGAAACATCTAACAATGTCAGATCTAAAAACCATACTTCGCACCAGCTGGGTCCAAACCAGTGGAATGTAATTAGATGGCAGATTGGCTTTTGTGGGCTCATAGAAAATCTGGGATTTTTTTTTTTTCTTTTTTTGTCTGGGTTTTTTTTTTATGTGTGTGTCTGAGTTTATTCTCTCTGTCTCTCCCTCTTTGCCTACAGGGCAGAAACCTGATTCCCCCAGCCTCTGGAGGGGCGAAGCTTAACTACACTGTACTGATAGGCGAGACTCCCTGCTCTGTCACCGTGTCTGAGAGCCAACTGCTGTGTGAGCCTCCCAACCTCACAGGCCAATATAAAGTTGTGGTCAGTATTGCTTTATTTCCCTCTCTTTACTTCTTGCTTGACTTTCTGCGTTTGCATCTTTCTTTGACCCTCGCTTTCCATTTATCCCTGTATTTGTATTTTTTCCTCAGTTCCTGGCCTTTACTCTATTGTTTGTGTTCTCATCATTGCTCATTCAGCTGAAGGAATGGGGTCAAAAGGGAGGGCAGCTCTGGTTGTCAAAAAGTTCCGACTAAAACCACAGCAATTATTACTACTTGCCTGCTCAGGTATTGAGTGCATGGCCCACACTAATTCCCTCTCAACAGCAGCACACAGGTAGCCGTGTGTTTGCACTCAGCATCAGTGTAAGCCAACAATATTCACTTTGGCTTTAGAATAATAAAGTTCTACTTGGAGATCCAAATGTGATGCAAGGCAATTTTTAAAAAAAATCAAACGTCTATTAGACACAAAAAAAAACAATTAATGTATAAATTTTAATTATCTACAACTATTTACAGGTTCAAGTTGGAGGCCTCCACGTGTCTCCAGGTGCGGTGCACATCATGTCTGACAGCCTCCTGACCCTCCCCGCCATCGTTAGCATCGCAGCAGGTGGCGGTCTCCTCCTCATCATCGTCATCCTCGTGCTCATCGCCTACAAGCGGAAGTCGCGGGAAAACGATCTCACCCTGAAGCGCCTGCAGATGCAAATGGACAACTTGGAGTCCCGCGTTGCTTTGGAATGCAAAGAAGGTAATGTCAGAGCCGCACAGCCTGCATGCGGACAGAGTTCATGCCTGATTTTGAAATGAGAAAGCTCACAGACCTTTTAGGCCTTCATAATTTAATTATACACCATCATTTAACTGCCTGTTCTATAACATATGCAAGTGAGGGGTTGTGAGGAGCACATTTCCATTGACAACAGTGTAATCACATAAGCAGAAATGTGTGTTCGAGAGTAATGTACAGTGAGTAATTTACTGCTGGTTGCTGTTCATAAATTAATGCTGTTAAATTATCTCCAAATCTAGGCCAGTGAGTCATCCTGGTTGTTTATTTCAACAGATTTAGTTAGTTACCACTGCATGCGACCAATCACGCATTAAATTAGATGCTGGCATTCAGAATATTAGATTCTGAAAATTGTCTACAAGTCTCGACTCAAACTGGCTCAAAAATATTTATCGTCTAGATCAGGGGTTCCCAAACTTTTCCATGTCGTGTCCCCACAAACAACGTTAGCATCTAGGCAGGGAATGCTTTTCCAAACTCACAATGCTACAAAAGCTATAAAACATCAACTTTTAGGAAATTTTCATCTCACTTTTATTTACTATTCAATAATTACTGCACCCATTTAGCTTAATGCTGCTTCATACCTTTTTTTTGTTGAGTTTTTAGATCAAACTCTAAAAAAGTTTTTTTCAGAAACTTGTCCATTTTTAATTTATTTTTAATTTTTTTAATCTTCTTTCCTGTGCCTCCTCTTGGCCTATCAGGGGGCCACAGCCCACACTTTGAAAAACTCTGGTCTAGTCAAAGTAACTTTTTAAAATCTAGTCCAAAAAAACTTGATTTAAAAAAGATTTTTTTTAAATTTGTAGCGTCCATATAGTAAGTACTGTGAAGGCTCGATATAAAATGTCATTTTTTTCGTTAAATGTTTGTATACGTTTTTTAGCCACACAATGCTAAGTTTTAGGAATAAAACGGAGCCTCATTAAAAAAAATACCACTGCATGAATAAAAAAATAGCATCCAATAATCTTCCAAAGGTTGTAAAATTGGGTTAGGGTTGTTAGATGCTTAATTCTTTCAAACACTCCTTAGTCCCTTGTGTTTCAGAATAATTAGAGAGCCCAGTGGTTAATTTGAACTCTGACTCTTTGCATACAGAGAGTGCTCCTAATCACCTCAGCCTGACCTCCAGTCATCACTGTTAACAAGCACAAAGCAATCAGTAATGGGAGTAATGGGAGGTCAGTATAGCCACTCATTAAAATGGCAAAATTAGCTCAATGTCTTACACTTTTCAGAGGATTTGATCAGCCAGAGAAAACCTTGTTAGCTATCCCCTCCAGCCGCTGCCTGACCAGCTCCCCCAGTGTTATTAAGCTGTGAAAAAAAAAAGAACAATTGTCAAATGACAGACAGGCAACCAGACACAGAGTAGGCAAACAGAGAGAATCACACAGGCAGCCTTGGGAAAGGAGAAGATTAATGTTTTAACCATTAGCAGTGACCAGGAGAGTCCTGCCTCACAGGCTGGATTTAGATAGATGCCCAGGTTCCCCCTGCAAGTTACTGCAAGTCGCAGGGGTACTGTGAGGCCAGGAGACCAGGACTAAGATGGGATAGCTGGGTTTAGAGGAGGGTGTTAGGGGACCGCTGCTGTTCCTGTCATAGGCTATAGGCAGGGAGGCTCCCCAAGGGAAGCCCAGACAAGCAGCAGGGCCGTGGGCCTCAATGAGACTGAGTCAGGATGGAGCCAATTAACTGGCGCTCACCTGCAGCCTCACACTGAGATGACACAATCTTTTGGGGCCTTTGCTATACAACCAATTTACTGGCTGGGAGATAAAAATGAGCTGAAAAAATAGACGCAAGTATGTGTGTGTGTGTGTGTGTGTGTGTTTGTGAAAGAAAGAGTGTGTAGTTTTTTAAGAAGTGAGATGTGAAAAGCTGCGATCCTCTGACGTGAGGATGATCTTGAGCTTTCCGTCATCCTCATCATGCGGGCAGTAAGCACCATAAAGATAAGAAGGATTCTCTTATTTGGTCCTTGGGGATTAAGGAGCAGTTTTATTTCTAAGATGCATTTCTCATGTATTTCCTCAAATGGTCTGTTTTTCTTTTTTTTCCCCCTCTCTACCAGCCTTTGCAGAGTTGCAGACAGACATCAATGAGCTTACCAGTGACCTCGACAGGGCCGGTATTCCCCATCTGGACTACAGAACATATGCCATGCGAGTCCTCTTCCCCGGCATTGAGGATCATCCTGTCCTGAGAGAACTTGAGGTAACAAACTACAGAGCTTGAACAAAAAATAGGAAGAAAGATAACTGAGACACAAAGGCAGCTAACGCATTAAAAGTTGTCAAGGGAGGGTTAGAGTAAGGTTAAAAGAAACGAGGAGAGCTGAGCAGTGTGTGTCATGTCACCATCCCTGCTGTAGCGTATCCTCCATAACCACAGAATTGCTCAGTGGGAGAAAAGGATACCAGTCTGCCAGTTATGCTTCCTACTCTGTGGTATGACACGCATGCTTAGTCAGTCATGCTGGTCAGACTACACACACATATATACCTCACATGAAGGCTCCCTCATGGAAAACAGGGTCCCAGCACATTGCTATTTCATCCACCAGTGGCTGCAGTATGAGAGGTAATGAAGTGAATAATTCCCACTCCTCAAGTAGGAGTGTGGACTCTTCTACTGAGATAAAAACTGTCCGTTTAAGACTTTTTGCTCCTTTTCATGGGGAGGGGGATGGAAGGGCTGGGAAGTGACTTTGGTTTTCTAGATATTTGCAGCATTTAATTTTGTGAGATGCACAGTGTTCAGATAAGGACACTGTAAGGTGATCTATATCACTACCAATATCTTATTTGAAGATAAACATTTGTGTAGTGGTTTAAGTCGGGCTTAGTTAACACATTTTTAAACCAGTAGGTGGTTATGGAAAAAAGTACAATAAAGAATTGCTACCCCATTTCATTCAGTGCAAATATGAAATATGTACTGTACAATTCAATCCTGGTCAGTTATACATAATCATTTAGTCAGATGTACATACAAGTAGAAAGTCCAGTTCAACATTTTCATGATCAAAATTTCTGAATTTACATTTTTTCTGCTCCAATACATGAAAGAGCTACAGGACCAGGCAATGATGAACTGTCCTGCTACTGGTGGCACTGTGAAAATGGGGAAAGTGAGCCAAACAGTACTATGCCACACTGATAGGGGGCAGTGCTGAAACTCATTTGCACATCTGGCAACAGATGTGACTCTTCCATGCATTGAAAAGACTAAAAACAATCGGAAAACTAAAAAAAAAAATATTGTTGGAATAGAACCATTCCAGGGCAACTCTCCTCCTTTTTGATTATATCTATTAAGGCAGCCAAATTTGCCAAACATCACGGCAAACGAGTGAATTTTACAATTGAGCTACAGGGTTTTTTGTGGAGGAGGATAGGTCACATGCTCATATGCAGGCTGGCAAGATCCTTTTCAGTTTTAGTGAAAACAAAAGACGAGATCAACCAACAAAAACCAAAAACATGTGTAATAAGATAATAATTTTGATCTTATAATGACTATTCTTTTGTGTGTTTTTCCCATTAAATTATTAAAGAGTTTGTTATTGAGTAAAGCATAATTGAAAGCTGTAAAAATAAGTAATGTGGCAGTTTAGGTGAAAACTCGAACTGAAACGTCTGATTAGGTTTAATATATTTTAACATTTGACTCCAGAGTCACTGCTTCACCAGTCACTGGACTGTCGGCACTGAAACTGGAAGAACAGACATTTCAGTTGGAATGAAACACAGACATGCAGTAACTCAGATAGAGGCAAAATTCAAGAAAAAAACAAAACACAAAACAACAAAGCTATACAGAGTGCCAGGAGTACTTTCTACTGAAAAGAAAACTAGGAATACACTCTTTTACAAGCATCAAATATTTTCCCACACTAAAGATCCTGTGATTAAAACTTACTGATAGTCCCGCTAAAAGCGATCTTTTTAACCTGGCTTTTGTTTAATTTTGCTTTGTGTATTTTTTATGCTGTTTGTTGAAACACAAGAATTTTTATCTTAAAAAACTATAATCATACATTTGAAAATCTATGTTCTTATAATAAGCCAGACCTTTCCTAGAACTCAAATAATTTATGGAAACTTGGAAAAAATAAATTACTTACATTGCCAGATTGATTTCTTGAAAGCATGACATATGACTGAAAATAAAATGCCTTAGTAAAGACACGATGCTTTTTATTGGGGCTGTGGTCAATAATTGAGTCTCTTAAAAATATGAGTGATTATTTTGATGCCCTTGGAAAAATGTTTTTTTTTTTCTTTTTATTAGACAAGGTAACAACAAACTATGAAGAGCACTATAGTTGGAAAAGAAATTGTTCTATTATCAGTCACAAGGAATAACGTTGGGTACTCATTAACCTCTGCATGTGTTGTTTCTCCTTCTTCGCCTTCAGGTGTCAGGCAATGGCCAGCAGAATGTGGAGAAGGCCCTGAAGCTGTTTGGTCAGCTCATCAACAACAAAGTGTTCCTGCTCACCTTCATACGAACACTTGAGATGCAGCGCTCTTTCTCCATGAGGGACCGTGGCAACGTGGCCTCGCTCATCATGACGGCCCTGCAGGGGCGTCTGGAGTACGCCACTGATGTTCTCAAACACCTGCTGTCGGACCTGATCGACCGCAACCTGGAGAGCAAGAACCATCCCAAACTGCTGCTGCGCAGGTAACTCGCATCGATTTGCTTCGCCCTGGCACCGTGTGATGTTTAAAAGGCTTGATTAAGTTGTTTATCTATTAAACTTTATTTGGTAGGTTTATAGAAAGCATTATCTTGAAAGGCACTAAAGTGAACAAAGAAAGGCTATTCTATAATTTCTGATTTCATTCTGACTTTAAACCAGTTCAAGAAGGTAACACAATCAAAGAAGATCAGGAATAAAACATAAATAAAAGCCTCTTTGTTATCATATTCCTATCATAATTAGGAAGAGCTTTAATCCTTTGTAATGCTCTTTGTGTTATATAACTGTTTCTGAAGTTTAATTTAGACAAAATCGAACACACACAGGCTTTTTGTGGATTCTGCCTCCTGTGTAGTTAGTTGTGCAGACACCAAACGTAGAGTCTTCATTTAAAACCATGGGAAAAAGTGTGGAGCAGCAGGAGGATGTTGATCCGTATTGACAGACAGATGAGGATTCATTTAGAGCTGCATGTTCCTCACCCTTTTTCCTTAATGCATTCTGATTTTCCTGAGGAGAGACATTTCGCAGAAAAGGGCTTGTAATAAGAGAAATTGTACATCTTCAGTTTGCCAAGATAAATGACATGTAATATTCACATCAGAGGAAACATCTGAATTCTCTACATTCTCTCTGTTTCTGTCTCTCCCCCTGCTCGCTCTTAATGCCAGTCTCACTTATGCTTCAGGCTCGGTCTCCTTATGAAACATTCAGATCTAGTTCAACTTAACTTTTTTCGCTCTCTCTCCTTCTCTCTTTTTGTAGATCCAGCATACATTGTGCTGCTCAGAAGTTGGGGGGATAATGTATTAAAATTTTAAACACCTACCGAGTCCTTTTGTCTGTCCTCAGCTGCTCTGTAAATAAGAATGGATGGACAAACAACAGTCAGATCAAAAGATATGTACCAAACACATAGCAACTTGAAAAGCCCAACTGTTAGGTTTGATTTTGATTATGTTTACATGACTAACAAGCAAATACAGTGACAGCAGGCAGATGCTATAGTTTAGACAGCATGTTTATTCTAATGTTCCTTTATTGCCTGTATTTGGGAAATCAACAATACAAGCAAATCGCTGCAAGGCAAAAACCATTGCTTAGGAACAGAGGGGGTGAATGAAAGCAGCGTAGCTTCAAACGACCCAGATAAAGTTATTCCACATGACAGCAGGACCCCACGTCAACTTAAGTTTTCATTATCTCATCTCATTAGAAACACAGTGGTACATAATCCTCAGGTTTGTTCTGTTGCTGCCTGGAGGGGCACATGTCCTACAGTTTTTACATATCTCCCATTTTATGTGAGGAATTTAAGGGATTACAGATTTGACACGGCTCTTTGCTGTTGTTGCCGTCTTTATCGCTTATTTAGAGCAAAGCCGACTGCCGAGCCAGTCGACTGATGTACGCTCATTTATCCAGCACATAAACACACTCATCTGTGATGATAATCAAATGGAAGGTGTCATCAGTTTGTTTGCATGTGGTGTGTTTTGTTTTCTTTTTAGTTATATTTTTTTTCAGTATGCTGATGTTGTGAAATATTAATTTAAAACATTTTCAGTTTTTTGTATGACTTCTTTTTTTGCTTTTTAGTCACATTTGCACATATAAATTCTGAAATAAATGTTGACATCAGACACATGTAACCTTAGTGGATATAAAATGCAATTTTCAAATGATGATTTCAATTCATTATGGAAAAAAGTTATCTAAACCAACCTATGTGACATAAATGTAGAGGTTACTTACATCCATTTTGGCCAACTCTACCTCACTTAATTGCTGTATTTCACTCCAATTTGAGGTTTTTAAAGCAGCACTGAGATTTTATGCCGATTGTCACAGCATCAGAGGGTCTGAGCTTTGATTAGACCATTCCAGAGCTTTCTTTTCTGCTATTCCAAGTTGGTCTACCTGGTGTTTTTTGGATCATTATGCTGCTTAATAACCTTCAGCTTAGGTCATGTATTGATTACCGATCAAATTCTTTTTCTCAGTATGGGTGCCACAAGATTTTCTGGTATAGAACAGAATTTATGGTCTTGGCAATTAGCAAATTATTCTTCCAGGACCGAAAGCAGCCAAGTTGCCTCCATTATGGTTTCATTGTCTGGAATGCTGATAATTTCACAACTGATGCACATCTTCGGAAATTTTTAGTTTAAGTACCTGTTAGTAAAAACATATGGGGTTAAATTCACATTATAGAGGAATTAAGTGACATTGTATTCCAATTTTTCTATCATTATGGCTGGAAAAAAAAATCCACAAACTAATAACCTCTTTGAGCCATGATAGATGTATGTGCTCATAAAGAGGGTATTGATTAAATATTACATCACAATGATTAACATGGGGACAGATGCTCCAATTGAATTCAGTTTTACAGCCAAAATCTCAAGAATGTATTTTCATTGAGAAAATTGCAGAATAGAAATGCGATGTAATGTTTTGAATAAAATTATTATTTTTAAACTTGATGAAATTTGATGAAGAGATACGAACAAGCAGGCCATTTCTAATTGTAACAGAAAGTTACAACTAAAAATATTTGTATCTGCCAAAAAATCTGAATAGATATTGCATGAATTCCACATAAATACGGTGGTTTTTGAAAATTTATGTTGTACTTATACTGAAATTACTAAATGCATAGACTCTACTCAGTAATTAAATGGCATATGAAGGCAAATTGTGCTAAAACAAAGCCACCCCTCAGATTTTCATAGCAAATTCTGGAACCCAAACATGTGGTATTTCTGTTTGCCTAGCGCATAAAATTCAAATAAAATACATTCAATTTATGAGGTTAAAAATGAGGCACAATGTAAAACAGTTTACTTTGCCAAGTACTGTATGTTTGCTTAGTTAAATTACTTTTCTTTCCTTCTGGAGATTCAGAGTAACAAAACGGATGAATGAGAAGGATGAAAAACAAATCATTGCTTTTCAAGAAGTAATTAATTTAAATAGTTACACAGAATTCAGCTTGACTTGCGTCATTGGCAGGGAGGTTTGTGTTTAAATGCCCTGGAGGAAAGTATTGCTTCTTATGTGCCTACTCTTTTACCCATCCAACACATCAGACGAATGGAAATGCATCTGTAGCATTTGCTGTATCTTACATTTACACAGAAATGATATGAAAACTTCCAGTCCATTAAGTTAAATAACATCCTTCCTACCTTCTCTGAAGTGTTTTTTTTTTTTTTTTCAGGGAAATGTGAGTTTCCTTTAGTAGTTAAAGATTTCAAAGGCTTTCTGGGTGTTGAAAATAGATTTTAGTTCATAAACACTACAGTTTTTCTAAAAGCTTTCTGAAAGAAGCATCTAGGTTTTATGACTGATTTCCTCACTCTTTACTGCATTAAGGAGAATCGATGCAGCACCTGGCACCGTGTGATGTTTGAATTTTATTTAGTGGATCTGGATTTTCTTTTCTCTGCTTATACATAACATAATCCTCATTTCCACCCATGTCTTTTGTCACTGGCTGTTCTTTCTGCTAATCATTTAAAGTGCAAACTCTAAAAAAAAAACAAAACAAAAAAAAAAACATGCCGGAATAGTCGCTTCCTTTTTCTGTTAAGATCTTTTCCCCATTATCTCTATCATATTAACTTTTGCCGTTCCTCACCCCGTTTCTTTGTCTTGCTCTTAATGTTCTTTAAATGGAACAACAGAACATTTCGTCTATCACCTTGAGACTCTTCAATCTTGTCTTATTTTTCTTCTCAGCATTTCCGTAATGAGATTTCCGCCCATGCAGAGCTTTGGTGTACGACATTATTCAGAGCATGAGTATTGTGTTTAGCATTAGTTTCATTGAGAGACATTTCAGTGGCTGCTAAAATATCCACCCATGCACCCTCACAACCATTAGGAAATCCGAGATGAGGTCTGCTCTTAAACACTTTGTGGCATAATGAAATCCTGATGTTCATTAATGAAACTCAATTAAGAGAGAGAAGGAAGCAGAGGGAAATGAGGAGGACAAGAAGGAGAGGAGAAGGAGGAGAACAAAGTGCTTCTCCCCGCCGAGATTCAAGAGAAGCGATATTAAGGGGGAGTCAGCGCAGCCCCCGCACAAAAGGCTTTATTTGACTTCCTTCTTCGAGACTTGCTGAGCTTATTAAAATGCTTAATAGGTTCCATTAACTTCTAACACACGCAAGTCTCATAAAAGCAGGAATGGGAGGGGGTTGCACAGTAAGCATAGCAGTGAGGGGTGGGGGGTAAATCCATGTAGAGGAAGGAGGGCGATTACAGAGGGATTTGGGGCATTGTCCAGAAAGATTCACAATAAATTAAGGCGTGTTCAGCATGAAAACACAGCCCAAGGCTCTAATGGCTTCTTCACATGTTTTCAAACTGAGACTCTTTGCTGTACAGCACGTTATTGTGCATCATTCTCCTCTTCTGAATTCCTTAGATATCTTTCTTTGTCCAGTCCCCAGACATCACCACCTGTCTGTGTTTATAAATGAAAACAGAGTCCTGGTGAAAAGTGCAGATTTAATTTGAATCCACACACAGTAGAAAGTAGAAATACAGAAAGAATATTTCTGGCTCAATGTATGACAACTCTGCTTAGAATAACCAATAGGGTTTGAATTGGTTGATATTAAGGCTTTTAAGGACAAAGCTTTGGAAGCTTATTCAGGAAACCCGAATTGTTCTTTCTTAAACCAGTCTTGATTTATTTTCTTAATTTGTGTACATTTTTATTCCAGCTATATCCAACCTGTATGTATCTGACCCAAACTATCACACTCATAAGAAAGAAAATTGTTTAGGAACAACTCTGAAACCACCAGATATAAAACATGTCCACAATGAGACATGTTTTATATCAGCATGTGGTATTAAAGAGTCATAAACCAAAGCCAATGTGCCAAAATCAACTATTTTAACTCACTCAAATATGCAATCGCTTACATGGACAACTTAAATGTCTTCTAGAGAAAATTGTGATTTTCAGACAAATCTACAATTGGATTTAGACACAATGACAAGTAGTATGTTTGAAGATCTCCAAATTTAGGCTTTCAACCCTAAGATCATTGTACTGTATTGATGACTTATTTGTTTTCAAATATTCTGAAAGAAAAGCAAAAAAAAAAAAAAAACAGACTGCTATCTTTAAATTCTTTAACTTCTCAAATCAACAGCTGGTTGTTTTGAGAAGAAATGACAGTGGAAATGACAATAATTCCTATCTCCCATCGAAACGCTCCTTGAAATGGATGAAACATCAATGTTTACCAGACACACATCCCATAAGATTTGCACTTTACTCATTTTGCATTTACAACAAGCAACTAACTGGAGCTGAGAGATCTTAAACCAAGTTACACTAACAAGCCTATTTAATCAATTGATTGATATTGAGAAATATGTTGGATCTTTCTCCTTATGAGGAGTGTTTATTCTCCCCTCCAGTATGTTAAACAGGTTGAACTTATCTACACCACCTCCCGTCAACCCTTGCCCAACCCCCTGCTGAAGCATCACACTTAATGGGCTTCCATCCAGTTCCTCTCTTAGCGAGATGCCAATAGACTGGCCAATGGACTCGTTCACAGGGGAGTAGCCTCCGGCTGTGGGAAACATCATCAAAGCTCAGACAGTCATACATCATTCAAAACAAAATATAACCCCAGCTTTACACTGAAGCAGCTGAGAAAGGAAAAAAATCCATGAGTGGAATTGAAAAATATGAAAATCCTTAATCTTTCCTGTTTTAATGAGAAATGGAGAATGACTGACACTCTTCCTCATCTCAGTGACTAAATTGTTAGCTAGCGTGACCTTCCTGACTCAGACAATCCTTCTGGTGCTTTTGCCTCAGCTCCAGATTCCTGCTCATACACCTTAAACATGACTTAACGCAATTATCTCCAATAATAGTAGTAATCTCGCTTCAGGTGTAATCATCCCCAGCATTGTTGAGGGTATGGAAGCCTTCTAACTTGCCTTTAATACCTTGCTGCTTCGATTCACGGTAATCTGCAGGTCAGCCCAGGTCCTCTGCCATATCCACCAGAGTAATCACAGTAATTTACTGCTGCATAAAGGGAACTTTTTTAATGCATTGTCCCTGAAATTGGCTGCGATCACATACAGAGCTTTATGGCAGGGCTCACTTGCAACCAGGTGGCAATCATAAAGCGTCACAGTCTTAAACACAGCAGATACATTTTATTGTGGATGTTAGTTGTGCTATCAGTCGCATTCAAGCAAAGAAGAGAAATAGCAGTACTTTTATTTCAGATTATTTTGTAGCACGCCGTAGAAAAACACTATTTTAATCTCAAGAAGTGTGGTATTTAATTTTTTTTTTTTTTTTTGCTTGTATACACAAGGGACCTGTTCTTTTAGTATTGCCTTAACTTGTTTCATACAAAGATAATCTAATACAAAGAGAGCATCTTCTGTGTAATTTACTTTTCAGGGCTTTTTTATTGCCATACAACTATTTCTCCAAGGCTCCCATTTTCCTAAGATTGCTATTCTTAAAGTACCAGGGTGAATCTACATGTTATAATATTCACAATATTATAAGATTATAAATTTCACAGTTGATGTAGAATTATCTTTCCCAACTTATGTTGGAATACCAAGATATTTTTTTCTTGGAACATCAAACTGGAATTGATCTGTTTTTAAGTAAAAAAATAATCTAATGATAGCTCTAATATCTACTAAATAATGTTAGTGCTTATACATTACTGCATATAAGTAATGAAAATTTGACTGACATAAATGAGGATGCTTCAGTCAGCTTGTTTTAATACTGACCACATTATTTTTAGGTGCTCCATTCAGTTTAATTATGAGGCTGTTATGTAATTACAAATCGATGATGTCAGTTCCCTCGGGGGGGAATCGTGTTATGGATTTTCTTTTAGTTTTGCATGTTCTGAAAATGGGCTCCATGATCACACTGCTGGTAGCACTGTTGTCTTGAAGCAAGAAGGTCCTGGGTTCAAATCCCAACTCAGGAATTTGCATGTTCTCCTCCATACATCTGAACTTCTGAATTCAAATGGTGCTGCAAGATCTCCCTTTTCCAGTCCTCAAAACAAAGTCATAAATGAACAAGAAGATAATAGTTGTTAATCAATCAGCATTTCCTCATCTCAATGCAGTAAAAAAAAAAAAAAAAAAAAAAAAACAAGACCTGAATCCCTACTTCACCCCAAGCTCAACCTAATAATGATGACTCTTGAACTTTGTGATGATTTAGAACAACATGAAGATAAGATAGGCATTGTTGCCATTGTTGCAGGTAGTTAATTGTCCATTCAGGGGAACCCCAGAACTTCAAGCATTTTTTTTTACAAAATGAGTCAACAGCTCATTTTCGCTGTTCTACTTTCTGTGAATATAACAAACCCTTTCATCTAAGCTTCGTGCTCATTAATAGTTGTTTTTATTTTTTATTTAACTCCTGTTCTCTTGTGATTCATGATGCTGCTAATGAGGAAAATGTAGAGATATTTGTTTGGCATTTAGAGCAAAAAATGAGCAGAAATTATGAAAGGGTGCAGAGTTTTGTTGCGTACTGCGTGGTAGAAATAGTCGGAGGTCAGTGCACTCTTGTGGGGTTTTTTTTCTTGGCCAATCAAGCCCACCAGCAGGCTGTAGCTCCATGTGTGATTGACTGGGAAGGGCAGTGGAGGTGGGGAGGAGGATGGGAGGAAATGAGAGGAGAAGAGATCGTTTTGGCCGCGATCAGGCGTTACCTGGCTGTGACAGCTCTCGTCTCTCTCAACAGCTGAGGCTTGTCACAGCTGCTGATGTCCCGCTGTGTTGAACTGCACATGAATAATCAACTGCAAGCATGCCTGCTCTGTCACACGCACACACGCACTTCTGTGCAGAGATGCCCCCTGTTTGCTTTGCTCTGTTCTCTCACTGTGACCACGGGGTTTTATGCAGTATACAAACAAAACCAAAGGCGGCTGCTCCACAGCCAGGATGTAAGGGAGATCTCCCTTAGGCTTTTCTCACAACCTCATAAATTATGGAGGTCTGTTTTTTTCTGAAAGTTTTTGCTTATTGAGAGAGAGACAAAAATGACATTTTATTTTGATTTTGCTTCATGTAATTTCAGAACAGAGTCGGTTGCTGAGAAGATGCTCACGAACTGGTTTGCCTTCCTCCTTCACAAATTCCTCAAGGTCAGTGCACCAAAAAATGTGCGGAGGTGTTTATATATGCACATGCAAATCCATTCTTTGTATCTTTTTAATAAAGCCTCCAGATTAAAGATGTGATTATGCAGTTTGGTTTTCAGTCTGGTGAGGTTTCTTTTTTTTTTCCTGCCATGGTGCTCTGTCATGTGTGAACCTGTGGGTTTGTCTTCGTGCGCGTGCGCATTTGTGTTCACAGGAGTGTGCAGGGGAGCCGCTGTTCATGCTGTACTGCGCCATCAAGCAGCAGATGGAAAAGGGACCCATTGACGCCATCACCGGAGAGGCCCGCTACTCCCTGAGCGAAGACAAACTCATCCGCCAGCAGATCGAGTACAAAACCCTGGTACGTCACACACCAGCAGACAGAGCAGAAGTTTGCACAAAGGCTTGCAGACATGGACAAACATGATGCTGCCAAGCTGACACGTACACACACAGACTTTTGTTTTAAGTAGTGGCCCACAGCTGAATGCATCAAGGGTTTTTTATTTCACATTTTCCATTTTGAAGATTTTTAAGATTTCAAAAAGCACATCTAAATTATATGCCAGAGTTGATCATAAAGGCTAGTTTTTATCTGTAGTCCTCCAATCAATATAAATACAATACATTACAGTACAATACAGACAAATTATCAAGCTTCTTCAAAAAATGAAAATAATTATAATGGTAAATAAAACATTTTTTATTAGGTTACAAATGTAATTTAAATCTACTTTAAATTAACTTGATTGATTGTTCCCAAACTTTATGCATTTCAAGAAACACATTTCTCTCCTTCATCTGAAAATACAGTTTAGCACATCCAGAAATCTATCCAGACATGACTGCTTATCCAAAACTAACAAACAAGACAGACAGAGCATTAATCCGATGGTGAGCGGAGCTGCAGCAAACCTGAGTTGAGAGAATATATTGACCACTATTTGTCGTGCACTGCACAAATCATCTTATACAGAGAAGCTGGTCAGTTTTTCTGTGAAGATGGATTGAACTAAAAGCAGGAAAATCCTGGACTAAAGCCTGTAGAACTTTTGTGAGATTTACCTCCTAATAATCCTAGTCCAGGCTTAAAATGAATAAAAATCTTTGGCATGACTTAAAAGTTGATACTCATAGACACTTTCCACCTAATCTAAGTGAAGTTGGTGTATTTTGCAAAACTCCAATTCTAAAAAAGATGCACTGAATAAAATACATCAAAAATTGTTATTCTTTAGTGAAAGAAGGTTCAAAGGGCATGAAGCTGTGTTTCACTGCACTGCCTTGGGAGGAAAATTAACCATTAGTCCCACAGGAAGCCACGTTGGTCCAACATCAGGGTAGGTGGTTATAGATTGAAACAAACCAAACAAACCTCTCCTCACGTTTTATCATGAACAGATAGAAAAAGGAAAGCTCTCACACAACCAGCATGTGACATGACAATGCTCTGATTGCTCTGACTGGGAATTTGGCTCATTATGTGCTAATGCCCCGGCAGTGCTGGAAATTGGTGTCCCGCCGAAGGTGTGAAATTAGATTTTGGGATGCCAGTAAGAGCGGAAATGGTTTCTCAAAGCTCCTGCTACGATCCAAGGAGACTCTAATGAGGGAAAAGCCACAAGCTGGACCCGCGTCCAGTCAGGAACCAGCTTTTCCTCCTCCCCTCTTGTGTTGTTTCACTCTCTCTCCCCCCTCTCTGTTCTTCCCTTTTTCATAATCTAGATCCTAAACTGTGTAAACCCAGACAACGAAAACAGTCCAGAGATCCCCGTGAAAGTGCTGAACTGTGACACCATCACACAAGTGAAGGAGAAGATACTTGATGCCGTTTACAAGAACATGCCCTATTCTCAGCGGCCGCGGGCCGTCGACATGGACTTGGGTAAAGAGCCAAACACACTAAACACACAATTTGAAGACACACAGATTCAGCAGACAGGTGTCGAGTCCTTCACACCTACAAATCCATGTATTAGTAAGAGAACACCTGAGCAGGGTAGATAGATAATCAGTGCCTCAGTGCGATAAAGCTGGGCTCCAGTCTCCTATCCATCCTCAGTGTGCTGCTTCGATGAAACTGACTGGCATGTTTTCCACACCTGCCGGTGCCAACAACCCTCAAAAGATTTAAATAGAGAATTGCGTCTGATGATGCATGTTTTTACATCTTGGACGTGGCCGATGCAGGTAAGAGCTGACCGTCTGGCTCAGCCGCCTCAAACTAAATTCCACTCCCACACAGTCTGCCACTGCCATCCTCTGCTGTCCGTGCCTCGCCTCCCATTAGTCTGTCCCTCAACATATTTTCTTTTAACTTCACATAAGTGTGCATAACAATAAACCCCCCAAGTCCCATGCTTATTTCAAATGAGCACACATCTGTGTCTTTACAATACTCCCATCAGATAATTGCTTGAAAGTGATTGCATCTGTGTGAGACTGTCTGCAGGTGTACAATTCTCTTTAAAACACAGATTTGTGAGTAGTTTAGAAAGCTTGAGGCCATTTTGTGCCAGGCAGAGGCATCATGTGGTCGTCTGGACGAGACACGCAGCAATAACAACCCGGTCAACAAGGGGAAAATCAATGATCATTCCCAGTATGAGGCCTACATTAGTTATCTGCCTCTTTGTGACTCCCCTTATTATCATTTTATTACTGTACAATGATGCCTCAGTCACTGCCCGCCACCAGTGCTGCTTGGTGTTTTTACCTGTTACATATAGTCCCTTTTCTGCTTGATTTTGAAAGAAAGTAATTTTCTCAGAGCTTCCTTCTCAATCTGATCTTCCTTTCTTCCCCACGGTGATGGGTCTGCTGCTGCATTTGTGACATTTGTACCAATTAAAGAGTGCAGGCAGCCTAAATATGCATCCTTCAAATGTTCTTGTGGAATGTTAAATTAAGATGCATGCCGATCTCTGAGGACACACAGGAATCCTGCAGATATTTACTCATTTGTGTGCATGTAGAGCAGTGTCTCAACATTTTTCAAGAAAATTTTGTCTCCTTTCAAGTGGTTCTGTTCAGCCTTGTTTAAAACTTTGAGCCATCAACGTTTTTGGTTGAACTACTAATGTCCAAAATTTCTCATAAAATAGATGCCATTTCACACTTGAAATCAGCTAAACATACACAACATATTGTCCACCTTCAATAAGAGAGTATGTTTACCTAGTTTGTCCTAAATTTGAATTTAACTGAATAATATCTATTTTTACAGCAAACAAACTTCTGCAAACCATCTACAAAACTCAGACATTGTTACTGGAGTTAGTCTCCTGAAGAGAGTACTTCTAAATATGGCTAATTCCCTGAGTGGGATTATTTATGATTTTCTCTCTCTGAAGTTTTGATTTCCATTTGTGTTTTGAGGTTTTATATTTATTCTATATGGCTATAGGAAAAACACCAGGTGTTGAGTCCTTATGCAATTGAACTTTATTTATTAAGGTTTAATAATTAAGTCTGGTTACAAATGAAATGGAAATAAACAAACTGGTTTCAGCCTCTGCATTCATATTATCTTGTTATCTAACATATGAGCCAAACTATTTGTAGCAGAAACTTTATTAAAGGTCCGTACATCATGTTCATGCTCCCACTGAATGAAAATGATTCAGAATCCACATCTGAAATTTTCCAGTCACTTGTTGTTTACCTAAGCACACAAATCACCCCAAAATTTGCTTTTTTTTGGTGCCAGATTCATTGTTTAGCCATTTACTGGCAACCCCTACAATCATCCCACTATGACACCAGGTTAAGATCAATAAGCAGAAAAACAAAATATTTTTTTCCTTTTCTTTTTGGCTAACTTTTTGGTCGCTGAGAGTTTTTTATGGAGCTAAAGGCTTATTGAAAGGCAGGAGTTGTCTTCACCTGAAGCCAGCTGGAACAACCCCAAGAACATAAGTAGAGGCAAAGAGGTTGTCGGTTCCCCTGCCTGGTAGAACTGCGGCCAGAGAATGAGGGACTTAATGTCGGAGAACTCAGAGAGTGAAACAGAGGAGCTGTGAAGTTTGTTACCTGGAGCAGAAAATGTGTGTTTTACAAGAAAAAAATCTGACTAGAAATGATAGACACACTACTTAAAATTATTTTTTCTATGACAAGAAAAACTAATTCAGGACTGAGCCACATCAGAGCTAACATTTTTTTTTATTTTTATGTTTCTGCTTGTTCGATTTTGTCATCAGAGTGGCGTCAGGGTCGAATGGCTCGTGTGGTGCTGCAGGATGAAGACATTACCACTAAGATCGAAAATGACTGGAAAAGACTCAACACACTCTTGCACTACCAGGTAGGCACTTACTAAGTTTAGTATTTTTTTTCCCTAATTGACTCTGAAACTTCTTTTTGTCAAGAAAAGCCTAATTTGTGTCCAACTTCTGCATTGGGTTTTATTATGGAAATTGTTCCACCCATACTAGCAAACTTTGATATTTTCTGCTCTTGACTTTAAGGCAGCCCAATTTTCAGTCTCTCATTTGCATGCTCATAGCTGGTTCACTCTGAGTGACTCACGGAATAGAGGACAATTACTGTACAGGTGGCAGGAGAGGTGAATTCTTCACATCACGGCTGACATTTCTCCCTCCCTGGAAAGATGAGGCGACAGGAGCAAGGCGTCTCTTTACTTTCCCTGTTTCTCACTCCATCTCTGCACCAGTAACAATTTGTTCTTCTTTGGGGGCACAAGTTCATCTTGCGTCCCCTGTTAAATAGACAGAAGAGTAGTGAGCTAAAGAGGAGGAAAGCTGAGCACAAGAAGAGATCTGTCATTGGAATTTACGGCATATGAATAAAGAAAAGCTAAAGTGGAAGTTGGCAGACGCTCGAAAGACACATTAAATGAAGAATAGGAAATAAAGACAGGCAAAGGAGATGGGAAGCTGGTCATCTCCACAAATCATGAATCTTTTGCAGCGCCCCCTCAGTCATCCCTCATTACTTGGCCAAAGGGTGCCATCTGTCTAAAGACTGTATGAGCTTTGATTCACAGCTACCTGCAGAAGGAGCAGAGGATGTGGCAGCTTTGGTTAGAATCGCAGATCAATACTGCACAGCCTGGAGACGCCAGTAAAAAGGGATGAGGTGGCAAAACTGAAGCCCTCACAACAGGGAGCTGCTGTGAACTCCTGCCCCTCAGGAACAGTGGGAGTAACTTAGCAGATGTGGGAGTCATTAGAAGACGGGACACATCATAGTGTCCTTCACACAGGACTTGGCACCATGCAGGTTCTGTTGCCCCTTTGTCTTTTCACCTCCTTTTTGCCTTTACTGTTACTTTTTTTGACTTTGGCCTCATTTACACTTAACTTCTTAAGCATTTCGGCTCACTCCAAATAGATCCAACATCGCTTCCTTTTCTCTCACACATTCACAACCCTTTTTGAGGGAAAACAGACGCTCAGATTTGTATGGAAGTCAGTGAAACTTCTGGGGTGCAATAGCAGCAAGTTGTTGTGTTTTGTACATTATATGTGTTTTTTGGCAGACATGGAAAACAATTCAATGAAGTCTTTCAGAAAGATTATGTAGAAAATCTTTCAGTTATGGAACCAGTACCTGGTGAAGTGGATAAATAACCTCAGCAAAGTAGGTTTTATTTCTAGACAAATACATGGATACTGTTTTAATTTTCAGGTGACTTTTTATTTCTATTATTATTATTATTATTATTATTATTATTATTATTATTATTATTATTATTATTATTATTATTATTATTATCATCATTTGTTAATTGTTGTTGTCATCATTAATAGTTTATCTGGCGTTTTAATTGACGTAAAATTTAGGGGATGCTTAATTTTAGAAAAGTAAAAATGTCTGTAAAACTTTTTTTTCACTGTATAGCACAATACTAATAAGCATTCTGGAAATTCAATAAGGGTTTTATATCATTTCTGATATGAACGTTTGTCTTCTTGCTGCCGCTTCAGCACAAAAAATCACAACTGAACCTGATTTGACATTTTTTCGTCTCATTACATCAACTCTGCTAATCAGTGACCAGAAACAACACAGAATGATGACTTGTCGTAATTTCTAGGACATCTGAGCATTTTGTTGGTTTAAACACCGAAGTTTCATTAAAACCGTAGCGTCTGGCTTGAATGCAGAGTTTCAGTGCTGGGACTTGTATCTCTGCTGAACAGTGACGGTTCCCCCTTTAAGCACCTCGTCTAGGTCTCTTCTGTGTTTCCCCTTGGTGAAGCAGCTCAGTGTGTTTTCTTCTATCCCATAATGGGCTCCTCTGTTGTTGTTGTTTTTTTTTTTGCACTTCTTTTCCTTGCAGTCTGTCTGCCATCGTTAGCCAAGGGAGAAACTACAGAACACGCATGTGGCCACTTCACTTATTTCCTTGCTCAATTGCAGATCACAGGACTGCTATTGATCATGGATCTGAGGGTCCCTTCATAAAACCCACCGTAAGGCCCAACACCGCATCACTACAGAGAAGATAGAGACGGGCTGCAGAGCAAAATAGTGGCAGGAGGAAGAGAGGAGAAGGACAGTTGGTGCTGGAAGAGATCAGAGTTGGAAGGAGAGATGTTTTTGCATCATTACTGTTTGGATGAGTTGGCAATAGCCCCCTTGTGCGAGCTTGTGTGTTTGTGTCACACACCATGGTGCCGTACTGGCAGCTGTGACAACACATGTGGCTTTGGATTAAAAAAAACAATGGGGATCATCTCATTAAGCCCAAGAGAGAGTGGGAAAGCTTGAAGGGTGTAATGGAAGGAGAAGTAAAAAGGGAAATAGTGAAATATGCAGAGTGAGTCTGAGCATCACCCTGAGTATTTGCTAATTCTCCCATAGCTGAAACACAGGGACTAGACGAAGGCATTAAAATTCATAGGTCTCACAGCCACCTAGGAAATGCCATTGGCTGTTTACACTGTTACATTGGAAATAATGGTTTACACAGCCTGGATATGGAAATGCGCACCTTTCCACTACGCTAAAATGAAAAACTTAAATGCACAAACTGAGAACGAGTTCACAATCTTTATTCATCATTTTTGTATTCATAGTCAGGGGACCAGACTCCTCTTCTACAACAACTTTCTCTCTGTTTCTGTATTTGTTTCCTGCCTGGATAAAGATAGACGCATATTGAAGTTTTTTCAAATATGTACACAACGTGTGTTCAGACTTGTAGCTCATACATCTGTGCCAATCCTCGGATAAACAGCAGAGCTAAGATAAATAAATCTTCTTTCACTGGAATGCTGTCTTGAAACAATTTAACTTGCTCTTGTGGTAGCTGGGCAAGTAAGCATGATGCCAAAAGATCCTCACATCTGTATGCTTTGAAGAATTAATTCTCCTCTGTTTGTTTTAATTTAGATTTGAACTATTGTGCGTATTGTCATTTGAGCAACCTGCCTTTTTCTTGAAGATCAAAGCTGATTATTCTTGTAGTTTTGTCAACTTCATTAGTTGGCACATGTAGCCGTCACTTTGTAAAAATTCTACTTATTTTGTGCCTGTAAAATAACTTTTTACAAAGAACATTAAACCTCTAAACCTCAAGGAAAATACTCTAAGGCAACCTACAAATGGAACGGACTAATACACAGAGGGCTAATGAATGTGGGAAACATACGGCGATCACAAATCCAGGACAGGTGTGACTAAGAAATTGATTCTACAAACTAGAAATTTTGAAGAACACAAGAACAGAAAACAAGAAACCCAAGAAAAATCTAAAGTAGTTCTAAAAAAGGCACATTTGAGCAGAAGGCAAAATCCAAGCTTAGTCTGGAAAACCTCTTGTTAGAGGTTTTCATCTTGATGTATTTGTCTATGCATTGTAAATACTAATCATAACCATAACCTTTTGGTTTAGCTGTTGTTTAGTCTGGTGATTTGAGTGCCGACTTGTTTGTTTCAGAGGAACATGAAGAGCAGACTGATGACTCCTGTAGCTCTTTGAACAGCAAAACATACAACACAAACTTGCTCTTTGCAAGTTTGTGTCTAACACTGTAGTTGTCTAGGGTCTGTTTTCAATTTGGTTAAAATATGAGCCTTTAATCAGAAGGAGAACTATGGTCTCAGGATGTGAAATGGAAATAAGTGACATGCTTGGTTAATGTTGCTGCACTCTGAGTCATATCCCTAAAAGCAACTCTTGCAGACGCAGTTCCAAAAAATTACATGTTTTCCATATCCAGACTCCACCTTAAGTCCAAAACAAAATAAATCTTGAGTACTTTTTTTGATGACTACCTTCAGACTTCCCCTCCCAACCCTCTAGTTTTTGCAGAAGCTGCACATGTGCAGAGTTTATTTCCAAGCTACTGTGCAGCTGCGATTGCTCTGATAGGCATCATGATCTAAGAGAATGCAGGAGGGAGGAAGAAAGGTAGAAGATGACCACACTCAGCTGTCTGGCCGACTCACCAGTGTCTAATGGAACGTCTTATCACAGGCGGGGTCCACAGCCCTTATCACACCTGCCCACTATCAGCCCAACACTGGATTATCCCTGAAGGACGAATCTGCACGCCTTCAATCATTTACTCCTATCACAAGAAGCCATCTCTGCTCTCGCTTCTCTTTCAGCCATAAAAAGCATAAAGAAAGAGAGAGACGGAGAGATGGAGGCAGATGTAAAAAGGAAAAGGGGTACTGAGAAGCTATTTCATGCTCCCTGGAGAAAATGTATCACAGGAATAGCAGTGAAAACTTCACGGAAGTGTACCCTGATGGTGTGTTAGAGCTGGTCTGTGCACTGTCAGCCAATTGGGCCAGGCTGTAGGATAGAGGGGATGTAGAAATTAAGTTAAGGCGAGTAGAATCTGACAAGAAACAGAGGAGGTGAGAAAGTGAGGAGAAAAGCCCATAAACTGTGTAGAGTGCACTATATTTTATTGAGGGATAATTTGATCACAGGGTTTACTACATTACAAAAATATTATTGAACATTATGTCACATCCTGGCGTTTTTTATTAAAATCATTTTTATTTTGGACCTTTTTCCAGATCCTTTATCACTAGTTTGTTGCAAGTTGGATTAGAAAGATGATTGCTAACTGTTAATGTGTCAAATTAGGCCTCCGGATATCATGGTTTGAATTAATTACGTAGTAGTAGTGTTAAAAACAAACAATGTTATACTTTTGATTAAAGAACTTTTGTTTCACTCATTAGAGATTTGGTATTTCCTTTGTACTTTGAGAAACTCCACTGAAAAAGAGACGAGATCAGCTGAGAAAGAATGTAAGGATTGGAGGGAGGGAGGAATGGAGCAGCCCAACTTAAGCTTCATCCAATATGAACAATATGCTGTGTGATATTTTCCAAACTGAAATGCAAAAATAACTTATTCCTGCTAAGAGATATAAGGGGAAAATGTTTTTGCTTTTATTCTGTTGTTTCTCTAAGGTGTGCCTTTAGGAGTCTGGCATTTATTTGTCTTTTGTTTATTTCTCTACTGGAGGCTCATCAGTTTGTCTTTGCTGGGTCTGAAGCAGAATTCCCTCCTCGGGGTAAGCTGCAAATGCCAGCCAACAAGCTCTTTTGTTGTTTTTGGTTCTCACTGAAGAACTGCGAGTTGTTTGCTGTGTTTTGGCTCTCTCAAGCAGAGATGTTTTGGTCCGCTAACAGCAGTAGCATTCATTAATTAAACTGATAAATGATTTCATATGACAGTCAAGTCTTGCAGCTAATTTTAAAGACATGTTTTGTGTTGTAGGGCTCTGTGTGTTCTACCTACAGTTTTTCAGTGATAATAACTGGAGCTGAACCCACGGGGTCTGAAATATATTTTATAAAGGGAAAAGGATTAAACTGAGCATTATCTTATTTGGCTATTACTCAGAGATGTTTTGTTGTTACTTGCACCAGCCATTTATGGTAAGGGTGGAAGTACACCAACTGAGCCTCCTTTTCCATCAACCATTCCCTCTCTTTGCATAATCTGCAAGCGCTAAAACATACCTAATCTCTGTAATATTTCTGAAAGTATTGAAAATGACAGTGAAAGACATGTTGAGAACAACCATCATGCAGCTGCAGCACTTTGCTCAGCTTGAAAAAAGCTAGAGGGTTGTGGTGCAGAACAACAGAGGCTTTTGTGTCTTTGTTGAAAGAATTGTTTACTTCTGATCTTCATAGTCTGAATTATCAGAAAACACTGTATACATCCATACACCTGTTGTTTTGTTTGATTAAAGCATGACATCTCTTCAGAATGTGACAAATTGCAGATATGCATTCAGAAGTTCTACGTGTCTCCTCATGCAGGTCTCTGATCGCAGCGTGGTAGCTTTGGTCCCCAAGCAAACCTCATCATATAACATTCCTTCTTCAGCGAGCATAACCCGTACCTCCATCAGCAGATATGGTGAGTCAGTACACACTGGATCCACATTAATTGCAAAATGAGACATGCACAACATAGGTAATTATGAAATTGTTTACATTCCTTTTGAAATTGTTTACGTTCAAAGTAGCTAATCTGTTTTAGCTATACTGTCTCAAAGCTCATCTTTGGGCTTTGACTCGTCGCCTTCGTTTTCTGTAAGAGTCTCATCCTTTGCATCATCATCCTCCTCTTCGTCCTCTTCCACCTCCTTCTCATCGTCGTCTTCATGGCCCTCAGTGGCTTGCTCTTTATTCCTCTCCTCTTCTGCTAATGATCAACAATAAAAAAAGAGAAAAAAATAAAGTAAATAAAAGAGAGAATAAGAGCTGTAATGTGTTTGCTTTTCATATTACAAAGTAAGCTGTGTTTGCACTTCAGGAACTGGTGGTTGTTTGCCCTCTTCCATTTCCACTGCTGTTACAACCAAGTCTTGATTAACTAAGTTTCAAAAGATTCAAGTTCAGGGTAGCATACTAGTAACATGCTTGTAGATGTTATTTGACTTAACACCCAGGAATGTGTTTTCCTGGAAATGTAGTTTCTCCCGACACTCATTTGTCTCCATTTCCAATCATAAGTTATAATAGTGCTGTTTGTTAAAATTTTTCAGCTGTGGTTTTCAACCTCATGCCTATAAACTTCCTGTCCTTCATGTTTTAGAGTTTTCCCTGCTTCAGCACACCTGAATCAAATGAATGATTACCTCCTTTGCATGTCATTAAGTCATGCAGAAGCCTGATGATAACTCATTAATTATGCCAGGTGTGTGGAGGCAGGGAAACATCGAAAACATGCACAACATTGGAAAGTCACTGATCAAGAAAGAAGGATAACTTCCCCCTTAAAACTGCAAAGTCCAGTTTGTGAATAAATTCTAGCAATGTAGCAGTTATCTTAGTGTTTTTATAATGGCTTCAATACTTTAAATTGACTTTGTAAAGTCAATTCAAACTGTGTGAAAATGTCCTAAGTGGATGGAACTATAAAAATCAATGTCTTACCAAGTTTCAGTGGGAGAGAAGTTAAAAGGCTGCTGTGCAATGAAACTTTAACTCTGTGATTTTGTTTCAAAAAATACATAAAGTCGGTCCAAACTCCACAGAAAGGCTTAAGTGTAACAAACTTTCAAAAAAAAAAAAAATTCCTATGAGATTAAATTGACTGATTATTGGGATTACAATCCAGTACTTCTTCATGAACATGATCAGAAAAGTTTAAGTATTTTTGACATCTTTCTGTTTCTAAAACAAATTTAAGCATAACTTCATCTGGGTCGTCAGTTATGCTTTCTTTTTAAAACAAAAAAAGGTCAAGAGACCTTTTTTCCTCCGCAAAATCGCTGTCAATATAGTGTATAATAAAGTCTTACTTTTTGCCTTTTATCGAGTCTTGAACTCATCGATTCTTTAACATCGATGACACAGATCGCGACGCATCATTTGCCAACGTTGCTGCATGTATTCACAGACTGTCAGATGTGTGACTTACTTTGAGCTGTTCAGTGCCAAATTTTGGTTCATTGCCAGAGTGACACAGCACCAGCACCAGGCAACTCATGATTGCTAATTATTTTGTGTGAATGATGCTTCACACAAACAGAGAAAAGATAAGTGAGCAGGGCCAATTATGAGGACGGGGGGAAAAGAGCTAAAGCTTCCCTTTAAACTGTCTAACACCCAAAACAAGCTACGGACAGCCTCATTCTTCCAAGAAATCAAACTTATTTACAGAAAACACAAAGAGTGTGTGCCTGTGAACTCTGGGTTAAACAATACATCTACTTGGAGTATTTAGTTTAAAATAAAGTGAGGAGATATTTATTAATAGACCTCATCGAAATTTACCTTTTGAAACACTGCTTAGCATCCAGTAGTTTTCTTTGAAATAAAATATTAAGTGATAACTGTCATTTCTATTTTTAACAAAATACTGTTCTCATGGGGAGCTTTGGTCAGTAAGATTTGATTTATACTGTAATAGTTCATGACTTGAAAATTATATTGACCCATCATTTGCGTAGACCATTTAAGAAAATCTGAGAAAATATCACTTGCACAATAATTTGGAACACAATGCAATTTTCAGAGTTCAGTTTCTTGACTCACTCATTGTGCCACAAGCACAACTGATCAACTCGGAAAAATGGCTACAGAAATAGGGAAGACACAGAGCATAAGGGAACAGAGGAGAAGTAAAAGCCAGTGACTGGATTAAGATCGGATTTGGGATCCCAATCCACCCGGCGCATGCATTCAACCTTTTCCATCCCCAATGGACACCGAAGGGGTGCAGTAGGGTCTTATTTGAAAGGTATAGGGGGCTTAAACAGCAGCTAATGCTGTTTTGTTTCACTCGCCCTTTGAAGCCAGGTGAGAGAAATCCTCAAATGGGATCCTCAGATCCTGAACCTCTAGAGACGCTGCTGCCTGGAGTAGATGCCGACTAATTAGTGAAAGTAAAACCAGCATCATTCGGAGTGAGAATGTGAGGTGGAAGGATGCATGATGAGGTGATGTATTGGTGAAGGACAGCGTTTTACAAATCGGTGATCATTTGATGCATTGATGAAGCTGTGACAGTTATTTTTATTGAAAAATTACATTTGGGGAAAAGCAAATCATGAGGCCTTTTAAGTGAAGCCAGACACAACTCTCACCAGCCAAGATTTATATAAGTAGATGTAGAAGATAAAAGATAATTATCACATAATTTATGACAGAGGCAAAAAAATTAAAGAGTGAATAATCACAGGAAGTAAATCTGCAGCATTATTTTCAACCTGCCTGCAAAATTAGGTTGTGTTATGATGAACAAAGGAAAGCTGAAGAAGTCCTGTTTTCCCTCAGCATTTACATAATCTCCTCATGGGCTTGAGTGTCATAATATTTTTAATGAATTATTTCAACCACTCTTGTGGACTGATTATGCAGACAACAACAGCTTTTCTTGAGGATTTGGGCACAAAGGTTTGAATTTTGGGGGGGATTTTCTGTGAAATCTGTTTGCTTAAATGCAACCATACACTCCAAATAATATACTTTTAAATGTCTTTCAGCAAGTCACTCCTGGACCAAACACATTTTAAAGCACATATCATCAGTACTACTGAAGAAACACCATGCTTGATGTTTTGTGTCGATTTGTAATAAAATACTCCTGTTATTGTCACCAAATGATTTAGTTGTCTTGTCTGACAAAAAAAAGTTCTCCAGAAGACATTTAAGGGTATTTTACACAAGGTACTTTCCTCTTGTTCAGCATCCTACAAGGCCTTTGTATATTATAAAAAATTAAAATGTTAACTCTTATATTTTCACCCAAATAGCTGTGACTTCTTGTTGTTAAGAGATCTGCTATTAACCAAATTACTTTTACAAAGGAAAAGAGAAGCTACGATGTGCTATTAACCATGGTAATTGTGTGTTAAATGTTAAGTTTTATGTTCAACATCTTTCCAAACTGAACAAAACGCTTCAAAACACGGTCTGAAATTAAGCACACATTCATGCCTATGATTTCTGCATGTACTTTTCACTGAACCTCATGGATTCTTATTGATAACTTTTAAATCTTTATTTTTTATCTTGGACAGATTCTTCGTTCCGTTACACAGGCAGTCCAGACAGCCTCAGGTCACGTGCTCCAATGATCACGCCGGACCTGGAGAGCGGTGTAAAGGTCTGGCACTTAGTGAAGAACCATGAACATGGAGACCAGAAGGAAGGCGATCGAGGCAGCAAGATGGTTTCTGAGATTTATCTAACCCGGTTGCTAGCAACTAAGGTACATCAGCCAACTTGTACATATACACTATGATGATTGCAAAAATGTTCATATTGGCTGAACCTTTTCAACTACAAAGGCATTATGCAATGTCTTAATATTATGCTATTTATCACCTCGTACAGGGAACTCTCCAAAAATTTGTCGATGATCTGTTTGAGACATTGTTCAGTACGGTTCATCGAGGGAGTACGCTTCCCCTAGCCATCAAATACATGTTTGACTTCCTAGATGAACAGGCAGACAGACATGGTATTTATGACACAGATGTTCGTCACACATGGAAAAGCAACTGGTAAGCCTAAAGAAACAAATGTGGCACTGGTTAGGTCCATGTCTGTCCTTAACTTATGTTTTTCATCTCCATCTTAAAGCCTTCCACTTCGTTTCTGGGTGAATGTGATCAAGAACCCACAGTTTGTATTTGACATCCATAAGAGCAGCATCACGGACGCCTGTCTATCTGTGGTAGCTCAGACCTTTATGGATTCCTGCTCAACTTCAGAGCACCGGCTGGGCAAAGACTCGCCTTCTAATAAACTGCTCTACGCTAAAGATATCCCTAATTATAAGAGCTGGGTAGAAAGGTAGGTGTAACCACTACTTTCAACATTGACACTAAAGCACACTTTTTTTGTCTCCTCTTACACAAAAAGCTGGATAATCTTTGGAAATTGATTCAAAAAGCTCTTTTTTTCTTTCATATTTCTCAAAGTCTATAAAAGCACTCTGCAAGTGAATATTAGCAGGCATAAATTGTCAGCACAAGTGGTGTAATGGCTTGAAAATATGACTATAAAGTAATAAAAACCTCAGTCAAACAATCATATTAACTCAGTGAATGACTCCAAGTGTTTCATGTTGCCTGTATTTCCAGGTACTACGCTGATATCACCCGGATGCCGGCTATTAGTGATCAGGACATGAATGCATATTTGGCTGAGCAGGCCAGACTCCACTCTACAGAGTTCAACATGCTCAGCGCTCTCAATGAGATCTACTCTTATGTCAGCAAGTACAGTGAGGAGGTAGGTCTGAATGCTCCAACTGGACAGAGAGCATAGTTTTTTCCTTTTAATGGTAGTCAATAATTTTGCCAAATAAGAGTGCCTATCTTGTAGGCGCTTGGATTAGCTGAGTTCACATTGCATGTGCTTCAGCAAGATCAATACAACCTGACCTTCTGGTTACAGTGACAGAGGTTTACTCTCCTCATATTTACTCACATTTTCCATATTGCACTGTTGTTAACTAAATAAATTGGACTTCTGCTGAATGCATAGTTACCACTAGGAACAAAGTAACCACAAAACAGCACCTTCTACATACCTATTAAGAAGAGTAAAAAGCAGAGTGTGCTTTAAATATTTTATTGCAGTGGTGTACCATTTTTTAAATATGCAACCTTAATTTGAGTGTATTTATTTAGCTGGTTAAAAAAGGCAAATTTTAAGAAATAACCAAAGCCCCTTAAAATTCTAATAAATATAAATAAATGTGATTTTTGACATATTTTCATTCATGTCAATAACAATTAACACTATTTGTAATTATGTTTCTGTTCACAATGAATTAACTAATAGATTTTGTATTGGACTAGTTTTACTCTACAACTCCTGACAAATGGGTGACTGCCTTAATAAACATTTAATAAGGTGTCCATATGCCTCTTAATGTCTTTGCTTTGTTGAGGTCAGACAATTCTCCCATTTTTTTTACATGCTTTTCTCGCTCAGTTGCACATTCAAACTGGAAGGCAGTCCTCCAAAATGATTGTGTAACAAGCTGCTGCTTCAGTAAATCAGCTGCCAATTACAGGCCGATTGTCAGGATAATTTGAAGCAAAAGAAAGCAAGCCACAGATTTGTCCTGCATTGTCAGGCCCTTAGTGTACCCAGGACGCTTTTAGCAAAGGTTACTGGGGTCAGTAAGCTTCCTCCCAAAGCCCAGAGGTCTGGTAAGACCTGAGTGGAAAGTGAGTGTCTACAAGCTGTCAACTTGCTGTGCTATCGTTTTGCTAGTGCAGAGCTAGAGCTGTTCTATACGGTGTAGATCTCACAGGCATCACACACACACTATTAGATCACAGGAAACGTATAAAAGGAGAAGGAAGGGAATGTGAAGGCATTTATGGAGACATTCTGGTTCTAATGTCAGCCCCTCCTGTGGGAAACTTCAGTCTGACCTTTATGTTCAACTTCCTCTCCCTCTCTACATCTCTGATTGTCTCTCTTTATTTCTCTCCCTCCTTTTCTTCTCACTTTTTGCTCGTTATCCAGTCAGCTTCCCCTTTGCTCTTCATGAATCTTACACTCTTGCTTTTGCTGCCTCTGCAGTTGCTATTGTCTGATGCTCACGTTTACAAATGCGCTTATTTTTCACACACACAAACCGCGGCGTGTGCACCACAACCCCCACAGTCTCTGTTGCGAGAAAACATCATCAAGCCACATTAATTGGTTTACTCAGAATAACCTGGCCAGAGCAGCACCAGGCTTCTCAAATGGATTTGGGGAGGAGGGCTTCACCTGCGTAAAGGAATGCAGATTAAAAATGGATTTCACTCAAGCTTGACAAGGAGGAGAAAATGTTATGACTATTACACCGAGCTGTTAGAGAGGTCTTAAAACTGATGAGTGGAAGATGGTAAGTGGGCACAACGCTACTTTGTTCTGCTTCAGATCAGGAAGCAAATAAAGGACTGTGATGCTGAAAAAGGCCAATGCAGATAAAATGTACAGCTTCTCCAGGAGATGTTGAAACTTGTAGACTATCAAGATTTAAGTTTTAATGAAGAAAATAGAAACAGTCACCTCGAACATAATTAATTTGCCAAAGAGGTTATCAAAGGTCTGCTTCTTTTCAGGGTTAACAAATATAGTCTTTTGTACTTATTGGCACTCTCTCTTATGGAGTATGAAAATCCTAACAATGAAACCATGTCTTTAATTGCAGATAATCAGCTTTTCTTCTTTGGTCAGTTGCCCGACATAAATAGAAAAGATGCAGAGTTGTGGAAACAGAAATGGCCAAAGGTTCCTCTCCATGTGCTCCAACTTCATGAAATTTCACAGGATGAGACTAAGTGCTCTCCTATTGGCAAAATTCTGTTCTACAAAGCCTTGACAGCAGGGGTGCAATTATTTGTGCCACAGGTGATTTAGCAAAAAAAAAAAAAAAAAAAAAAGAAAAAACAATGATGGCTTAGCATGGGCATTTCCCCCCTTCTGAATAAATATACTCAAATTAAAGGTTTGGTTTTTCCTTTATTATCAATGTAAGATTATTCCACTATGCTGAAAAAATGTCAAAGATTTGAATACCGGTAGGTATTCTACACTTTTAAGCATAATATAAGATAAAATAAAAACACAGCATGGATTGTCATTTCTCCTCCACCCACCAAGCTTTCATATTTTATGTTATGTACCTAAGAATTATTTAGATAACATAATGCAAAAAATAGCTCTATGAATTATTTTGTTGGAAATATTAATTATTAAGAAAAGCACAACATTCTGCTAGTTAACAAGAACAAACAGAAACTGCTGCTGTTCATGGTCATGTGATAAACCAGGTTGTGGCATTTGAATACAGGACTGCATATCAAAGGGAAAACGAGCATTTGTTCTTCAGTTTGTGTTCAGACAAAGAGGCCTTGCTGTGTACGGTGGTGTCACACTGACAGAGATGCAGCCTGACAAGTTGACACAAGATTAGAGAGTCGAGAGGGGAGCGCGTCCGACTGCCTTTTGAACCCGGCTTGACAAATGCCAAATTTAAAAGATGGAGCTCAGAAGATAAAACATGGAATGATATTTCTGAATTTTTTTTTACAGACACGTTCTTTCATGTGATGTCTACATAGGGGCTCATAAATTCAAGCTTTTATTCTGCTGTGACTCATAGACTGCCATGCAAAAGTATTTTCACCCTTGAATTTTTAATTTTATTTGCAAATTTCCAATTTACAACTGCAAACTTGATTTTTTATGTGTATCCATAAAATTGTGGAAAGAATAAGAGATGAGATCTATAAAAGTTTGCATCAAAGCAAACTTAGGTCACAGTATTAAAGTATTGACCTAAATCCAACCAAGAATTTGTGACTAGACTTCAAAAATAAAAAAAAGTTTAATGTGTTGTAAATTTTCCTATTCAAATAGTAAAGTATATTCTATTCTATTCCACACCCAATTTATATGAGCTTGTTCCATTTTGCAAACAAGAAACAATTTAGTCTGTATTTACTAAACTGGAAAAGGTGTAAAACTACTATTGGTGATTCTACAAAGTTCCAATTTAGGCAGAAGGTTGATAGAAATACACACCATACTTTTCTAGCTAAGATCCAGGAACACTTGAGACTTCCTCTGAAAGTCCCTTTAACTAACTATATAATTGTCAGACCTTAATATGGATTAACATGCACAGGCAGGAACTGGGTTTACTTTTTTAGGTGGTTATAATATGAAATACATGGAAGTTCATGGTTGTAATGTGGTAAGGCTGAGTGTTTCTCTCTCTCTCTCTCTTTTTTTTTTACCACATTGCTGCCTGTTCTTTGCAGATTGTTTCAGCCCTAGAGCAGGAGGAGCAGGCAAGGAAACAGAGGTTGGCCTACAAGGTGGAACAGCTCATCTCTGCCATGTCTTTGGAGAGCTGAAGGTGAATGCTGCCAAAGCAAAGAAGAGGAGAGAAGGGACCGATGGACCTGCTTAAAAGGTCACTACTTACCTCTCATCGTGGGAAATTTCAACCACGATCTGGACCTCTGTACATCTACAGCCGGACAAACACAACTGCTTTAGTTTGCGATTCTTTTCCCCTGCCATTACGATGAGACTGACACAGAGGCTCTCCAGCTGGAAATAATAATGTTATACATAAGGGACATTGAGTTTGTTGGTTTCGTTTTCCTCAAAGGATCCTCTCTAGATTTGGCAGGAAATTGCATGTCATGTGGGTGTTCACATGTGTGGGTGTGCATGAGAGTGTGTCATATTGAGGAAGACTCGTGTAAGACTGTGAAGGCAAATGGAGAAACAGATTTAGCCTCCCAACCCCCATCTGAGCGAGAAAAAAAAAAAAAAAGAAGAAAAAACGAAGGTGAAAGGCCGATCTCAAGTGTGCATTCAGATTACTCAGATTTTATTTTTGTACTCTGTAAATGTGAATATCATCATCTGCAGTTAAAGAAAAATATCCACTGAGTATCCTTAACTCCATCTTGTAAAGATGCGTCTTATTTCACCCCTTCCCTTTTTGGACTGACGCTTCTCAGAACATGTACATGAACAAATGCTGCTCTATATGTGATCAGAAAGGAGATCAAAACAACTTCTGCTCATCATTGGAAATGTGAGTAGATCTTAATTTTGGAGTTATAGCTTCGACAGCATGCATGAAACAAACTTGAGGCTGATAACAGTAAAGTGGCTGCAGTACTGCTTCACTCTGTTGTTCTAAGGCGCCAATCAGTGTATGTGAATATATGTTTGTTTGTTTTTTTTCTTTTTAAATCTTTTTATGTTTTGCAACAAATATCGGACCAGTTTAAGTAAGATACACTGATACTTGACATTGATTCTGCTAAGAAAGAGTCTAAATTTATCACGCTGATTCCAATTTGCTTGAGGAGAATTAGTCAGCAGTCTCATAAGCAGTTGCTAGAAGACGACGGGTGAAGCATTTAGTTTTTATGTGCTTTGATTTTCATTACATTCCCCACAAATGTCTCATTTGGGGAGCGTGATCAACTTTATCCGCACACCATCCCCAAAGTCACGCATCAGATGTGTAAACATTTCCAAGAGTTTGGTTTCATCATGTGCCAATGAGTCAGTAGAGTTGCTACTGTAGAAGATGCCGTCCAACTAATGGCGATGTGTTTGCCCAGACCACAAGAACTCTATGTGGGTTCAGTTTGACAAAGTGCCAAGAGATCCGACTGTTTCAGCTTGCTTACTGGTGTGTCAAAATCGGTTTACGCTTTACAGAGGACACGCTTTGGGTTAAATTCAAGGCTCAGAAAGCTGGACTGGTGAGTTTTGAAAGGTACGACGAATAAGCAGAAAAGAAAAACCAAAAGGTGAAAACAAAAATCAGATCTATAAAATGGTTCATCCTGCCTGAAACCAGGCTGAAAACTGATTCCATCTTCTGAAATGCTGATTTATTTTCTTCCAAGAGACATTTGCTTGTTGTTTACATCAAGTACTTGAAAATACGCTTGTACAGTTTTGTGTGTAGAGCGCATGTACCAGGTGGGTGAAAGGTGCTTCTTTTCTTTGTGGCCTTAGATACCTGCCTGCTTAGTGTTCCCTGATCTTACTAGTCCTCAGCCAGGGCACACTTTTTCAGTGAATCCTGGCACCAGCACTCAGCTGAGGATAGTGAGACGATCTAAAAAGGAGAGGTGAAGAGGCTATGGCCAGCACCTCTCCCAGCACTCGGCTCGCCCGAACCGTTTGAAGAGAAGCGCCGAGAAATGAGAAAGCGATGGAGGGGTAGAATGAGAGAGCGAGCCCCTGTAGCTCTGGTTTCCCACTCTGGCTTTGAAGACGCTCTTTGATCTGAGTCGGTTGCGTGCGCTCTGTGATCAGGAGAAAACATCAAACTAAGAGGCGAGAAGAAATGTCCGATGACGTGACGAGTGAGGCAATTGCTGGTTCATGCCAGTGGGGGCAGCAGTGAGTACGAGGGGATGGAGTGTGTTGCCTCGTTTGAAAATGCACCTGCTGATGGTCCACTAACAGTGGACAGTTCCCTGTTAAAGTATAAATAATCCTTAAGTTTTTATGTGTTCTGCTACTTTACAGCCACAAATTTTTATGTATTTTGGTGAGATTTTAACTGATATACCAACTGAAAGTAGTGCATTCAGATTTTTTGTTTATACAAATTGTAATAGAGTGCTCTAAATTTGCATTCAGCCCTCCTCAATTTGCAGAATCATGATCCATTCATGCTATATAGTTAGTTGTGGCATGTTCCACTTTTGCACAAATACAATCTTAAATTTTTGATCCCTCTTCATTACAGAATGACTAAATCTGATTGGATGAAGTATGAGATCGAGGTCTGCATCGTGATATCACCACCCTGTTTTATTGCGGGAATGGTGTGTACAGGGAGGGAAAAGTACTCTAACTACTCTTCCATCAAAGTGGTGCAAGATTAATAATTTATCAATAGGTTCACTCATAAGTTCTGAATCTGTTTTTTCTTTGTGGCTCTTATTTATTGGTATCAGAGTAAAAAGGGCTGAATAGATATTCTGCTTTGTGTTGGTATATCACATAATATTAAAATAAAATACAGATTGTGGTTATAACTTGATAAAAGACAAGGTAGACCTTATCTCATATTTTGGACCTGTATCAAGCAGACGTTGGACTGAATAATGTCCTAAAAAAACTAGTATCACACCAGATTTAGGATTCATGATTCAGGGCTTATATTTGACCTTAAAACTAAAGTGTATTTGCTTGAAGAATATGTTTGAGTACAATTCCACTCACTGCAGGATAGCTGACCTTTTGCTGGAAATTTTTTTAAAATAAATAAATAAATACCAGCATAATTAGAGGAAAAGAAGCAGCTTGCAATCTGAAATTGAACCAGTCATTAGTTTATATAAACATATAAATTTTCAAATTTCTTGGAAGATAATTTTCCAGAATCTGCCGATCAAAATATTTATAGCAAACAAAAATTAAGGGGTAAGGTCACCGTTTTATTTGTTGAGTTTCTTTTTGTATGTATTTGCAAATACAGTATGTTAATTTTTCAAGCTCCCTAATGGTCTAATGACCGACTCTAGGTACACAGCAGTGCACACATGCCCAGCACACACAGAGCTTCTTCCTTTTGATGAAGGTGTCTTCCCAATTTCAGCGACTAGAATTGTATCCTCCTCATACCTCACATTGCTTACATGGAGTAATGCTTTCTGTTTTAATGGGACCTTATTGCCTTTTTTTCCCCCCTTTTTCCAAGGAGTGAACTTTATTTTTTGACAGAATCCTTCCAGCTGTTCTGTGAGCTCCTCCTTCTGTAACACAGGAGTGTGATAAACAAAGTTAGGCTCCAACTGGTTAAGAATGACTGATTTTTCTCTCTTTAAACATTTGTAACCCAGATGTTTCTCATCTGATATTTATGCATGCATTTTTACTCGCGCTTTAGTTCTGCCTTGTGTTCCTATTGACATATCGATCTGTGCTATGATTTAGCCTGACGGCAATTCTTCCATTTGTAAATGTCTTAAAATTGCAGCACCTTTTATTGTGAACAGAGATTTTTTTAGTTGTTGTTATGAAGTGATTGCTTGTTTGTGTTACCATGTTGTACGCTCATTTTAATTTAATTTTAATAAAAGAGAGGATTTTTTTTTACCCGTTCTGCAGTGCAGAATTACATTCTATTGCCAGTTGTGAGAGATGTTTAGAAATGCACACAAACCTCACTTCAGATGAAGCTGAACAACTAAAATGCTTTGTGAAACTTTCTGCTTCCAGTGAATCGTGGTGTTCCTTACACAAATCGGAGCATTTTGTTATCTTTTCAGCTTGTTTGCTCGCTAAATGGCATCAGACACACAAACTCAAGTCCCAATCAATGTATTACTCTCGATATAAAATGAGTATCCTTCCATTTTAAACACATAATAAAAAAAAAATTTAGACACTGGAGTACTGTAAAATAACAATTACTGGCATTGATGATGATAATAATAATGGTTGTCTGTTCTTCTTGTTTTATAAAAGTGTTGTGAAAATTGTAAGAATTTAAAGTATTTAAAAAGTTTGTTCTCTTGGTTTTTTTATTTGCTTTGATTTTGTTATTATAATATATTATTGTGTACCTATTGTAAATATGAAGCACACCTATTTTGCAAGCCAAGGATTCACTTTGTACTGTTGTTATATATAAATAAACTTTGCTGGTTAAAATTGCATAGAACCAAAACCTGTAATCCTGTCTTTTCTCTTCTTTTTGTTTTTCATTGTGTTTTCCATTTTCTTGCAAGGAAATATGAACATCTATATGTATATTCCCACTTTCCCAAGGATGAAAACAATGTATGTTTGACTTCAGCAGACGACGGATTGCTGCCAGTCCCAAAACTTCACATTTGTTGTTACATTTGCCAAGAAAGAGCCGCCTTTGAATATTGAATTTGAAAATGTAAAATGCTTCTGAATTTTAAAGGTAGGCTCATTTATGACAAATGGACTTTTAATCATACTGTGGAAAATCTTAGTTTGACAGCTGTGTTTTATAGGCATAATTTAGCACTGCTGGTTACATAACTTCCTCTGCTTGTGCTGTTTCAGTCTATTAGAAAATGAAAGTGGGTGATGTCATGGTCACTGAAGCTCTGGTCAGGAACCTCAAGCATTTAGCATTTAAGAAGACTTACCATGGTTTGTGGTGTTCTCTGTAATTACTTAAAATTATATGACATTTCTCTGGTTTAAGTTTCCATTTTCAAAGCATTTGAGATCATTTAATCTGAGCAACGCAGCATTTTAGGTACTTGTTTTCATCTTTACAATACATATGCTTTCTTCATTCTTAAATAAGGACCATTTGTTTGTTCATGGGATGAATGACTTCACTAATTGAGCTCAACTCTGTCAGAGTCTCAGCAGCATGAATCTGTTGGTTTTCTATTACTCTTCTACAGCCACTTCTACCATCAACTATTGACATCAACTATTCAAAATAGCAACATTAAAAATGACTTGGCAGAATACTTATGCAGTTCTTTTGATTTTGGAATATGTTGCATGCATAAAATACAGAAAAATATATTTTAGATAAGCTCAAAATACAATTATGCTTCTGTAAATTAATGCTGAATTATTTATATTTGAAAGGTCATGTAAAGAAAGAACTAAAAAAATAAAAATTTGTTATTTCCAAGAAATCTTAGCTTTCTGTCATATGGATACCATGTTTTTGTTTGGTTATTGGATCTTCTTTAACCCACAATATTAGATAGAAGTGAAGACGACGAGAAAAGAGAGCAATAGCTTTCGTTCAAACTGCTTTGAGTGAATTGTTTTGTTGTCTTCGAGATTTATTTTAATATTATTCAGTCAATAAAAA